CACTTTCGCTATCAAGATCGTTAATATCCTGTCTGGCGTCTTGGTTGCGTGTAACTGGGGCTTCACGCTGAGCGAGTGGGTGCGCGAGATCATTGGCCGCAGGAAGAGGCAGATTAGCGAGGGTGTTATTGGTGCGAAGGGTGGGTATGACGAGTAAACCACATCATTCGCCTGCTCTAGGGATGAGGTTGGTTGACCTTGTAGTATGTACCACTAGCTGGGGAGAGAGGCGTGAAAAGGGGCAAATGAGCGAAAGAAGACGATTTGGTTTTGGCATCTTGTTTTTGGCTAGGCATTTTCTTGTTCTAGAGTCACGGAGTTCAGGGCGGTATGGCGAGGTCGGTATATATATATAGTATATAGTATCAGTATCAACATGAATGATTCAAAGTCAATTGCTTGGCTTGTTCGTGATCCTCTCTCTGTTTCGTAAAACAAAAGGATAGGGAAACAGTTGTAGGATCTGTAGCGTCTATTCCATTTGCTTAATCTAGAAAGGAGTAATCCGCGACTTATACCCAGACGACCAGCAACGTTCTCTCTCACTTATTCAAATGAAATGACCCAAGTCCAAAGCCGAATGAGCGGAGCAATACCCTAAGATAAAGAAATTTAGGTACGATGTAGAAAAAAGACGACTAATTCATAGGCTGGCAACAACACACTTTAATATACATACTGGAAATATAAATATTTACCCCGACACAACCTACATTAGGTAGGTAGGTATGCATATTACTTCATTAAAGCTAGCTAACGTCATGCTTTTCAACGTATACTCATTCTGGTCCTCCCTCCCCCAATAAACAGACTCCTAAACTATGCGCGTAAGTTGGCCGGAGACTTCCCCGGCTCATCAGTACTTGATATCGATGCTTTATAACGTATATATGAGGTAATCGACCTATCTATACCCCTTGAATACTAGCAAGAGGAATTCGAGCCAAGCCAAGCCAAGCTGCCGGCTCGAAGTTCGCGCACACTAGTTCTTGTAATAAAGTTTGGTCAAATCGACTCGACTCGACTCGACTCGCTATTGCAGTAGCAGCGCATCTTCGTCGAGCCGCCCGAACAGCTCCTTGATTTCCTTCTCTACAACCTTTAGCTCCTTTGCCAGCTGGCCGGTAACCAGAGCGTACGCGTATAGGAGCGCATAGTCCGGTTCCTCTACGACGATGTCACCTAGCGACGGGACTCTAACCCTAAGACCACTTTTGGCATTCGCATTCGCATCCCCGTCGCCGTTCTCCCCGGTCGTGGACGAGGCTTTACCGCCATCCTCCGCCGCGGCTTCGATGTGGTTGTGCTCCTTCCTGAAGCGGAAGATCTTGCCTAGTAGCTTGTCTCGGATAACCATGACACTCGGAATGGCGTCCGTCAGGGGGTATTCGAGCATGATACTAGATGCGAGCACCTGAAACACGTGGCATATGCGCGCGCACAGCTGCTCTCGCTCATCTGCTGTGTAGTATAACAATGCTTTCTCGCCGTCGCTAAGGCGGCCGTGCTTCTGCGTCACCAAACTCATAGCGTGGAACGCGTCGAGCGCTCGTTGCGTCGAGGCCATAATGCGCCCGTACGCCTCGAAGGGGAATGGACCGCGAAGTTCGTACTCGTTCTTCGCCGCGACGCGGAGCGTCTCTAGCTGCGATGCGTACCGCTGCATGGCAGCTTGCTCACCTATCTTCATGTAGCTCGTAGCTGCAGTGTCGTTGCGGAGGAGGACAGCTAGCGGGCCTCGCTTCCAGACGAGTCCCATTTGTAGATAAAGAACTGCTAGACCCTCCTTGAACTTTTGACGGGCAGATATGGGCCAGATCAGGCGGCATATAATGAGACCCCAGATAATGCCGACAGACACGGCCACAACTCTGTGGAAAGCGATGGAACTGATGATTGGGTGGATACCACCTTCGTCGTCATCATCATCGTCGACATTCTGCGTGAGCGAATACGCGTATAATGAGGACACGTTGTAGCTTAGCAATATGAAGCGACCAAATGCCGGATTACCGCGATCGATCATGATATAAAACGCACCAAAGGCGACAGCCCAGCCTAAGAAGGCGAGCGCGACAGCGTTGCCGTCCGATATCCACCAGTTGACCAAGACGAAGGCAGCACCCAAGATGGTACCCGTGAAACGAGACCAGCCGGTAGCGTTAGATGCACCCACAGTCATCGAGCACACGATCATAAAAGACAGAAGACCCCATTCGCCTCGCCAGTGCCTGTATATTGGCCGTGTTTGAGGAATAAAGGCGAACATAGCGTAGAGGGCGGCGCCAATACCGACTTTAAGGCCGAAACGAACTATACCAAGATGTTAATAAGAATTATTCAGGGACTAGGGGCACGTGGATTATAACTTACTATCATTCCTTGCAAGAAACTTAAAGAATTTCAACAGAGTCCGAGACGTCGTTCGGACGAAATGATCCCATAAACCTTCACCTTGCGGCGCTGCATCCCAGCTAAAGGTACCACGCCGCTTCATGGTCTCAGGGATGCCCTGAGGTAGTTTAGACTGCCTTAGCCTCTTGACCGGTTGAAGCAGGGACAGGTGCTCTGGGTCTCCTTTCTTTATCTTTGATGAGAAACTAATGTGCTTCCAAAACATCATCCATTTCCATGTCCGCTTGCCCTGCTCGGTAACATCTCGCAAGTCGTCAACAGTATCCAGGTAGATCTGCATCTCGTCTGCAAAACTAAGCAGACTAAATGAGAAGTGCCCACACGCTGCAGCTACCTCCTCGAAATCAGCTTGGATAGACTCAGATCTGGTCTTGCTTAGTTCGATCGTCTTATAGATTTCTTCTAGCGCATTTCCCCTCGCCTGGTTATATAGGGATATCGCATCGCCAAGGCTTTGCTTGAACTGTTCGTTGATGTTGATTGGTGTCCCCGGAGCTCCGAATAGGGGTTCTCTGAGCATTTCGGCCATTGTGTGGACTAAAGATTTCATCGACGGGCCGAGACGCGCGATGAATAATTCAAAGATATCAGGTGGGGACCTTAACGATGAACTAGACGCAGACAACATAGGATGCGCCTCTTGTGTAGGTGCTACATCCTCCCTATCGCTTCGTTCGTCGGGTGCCTCATCTATGGGACCAAGAGCATTAGCTCTGTTACTTCCGCTCTTCAATGTCGCCGATAGAGACCTACCAAAAGTAGGCGAGAAAGGGTTTGTAGCTTGAGAAAATGGAGAGGTCGCCGAGTGTGAGGATAGTGGCCCGAAAGATACTTCTTTCAAGAGCTCGAATTGGGTATTAGCCGCACTCCTCAGACCACCGAGCGACTGAGCTAAGCTTTCCATCGACTTTACTACAGCCTTATCGTGCCTATATATCTCCTCTTGTCCTAGGATATAGTATTCATATTTCGATTCCCGAGCGTTTTTGTTCATTTGAGACAAAGTTGAAGTGTAGCCAGCTGAAGCTTTCGTAAAGGCACTCGAAGTGAAATCCTCTTCAGCACCACTAAGGAACCCGCTCGCTATCATAGACAACATATCGCCGAGCGATGTAGACGCCCTTTGCATAGATTTTCGTAGTGCCAGCCTCGCAGAAACCGGCCATAAGACCAAGTTAACTAGCGTTGATATCACAGTGGCCATAAGTAACATCTTGAGTGACTGTATAATCTTCTGGTTGGTGAAGACGCCTGTATGGACCGAGTTCTCTTTCGTCACAATAGTGATGATACCGATGGATGCTATGCTAGCACCAACGCTCACGAGAGGATGATTGAGCTTCTGCTTGACCCATCCGACAAAGCCCAGGCCACCTCCAATGAATATCGTGAGAACTAGAATGTAAGACAACTCGATCATGTCCAAGACTGACCCGAAGAGCACCGAAGTGGCCATGGACAAAGTTCCGATAAACATGGCATAACACACGGCGACGACAGCAATAGCAACAGCTTCTATCTGCGAGCCTGTCGACCTGGCCGGGTGGAAATAGACAGTAATGGTAGCGACGATATGCTTCCCGTCCATTGGACCCAGAAACCTGGCAGCAGGGCGCCAAAAGGTCCCCATGCTAGCCAGCAGGTATGCAATAGAGCATTTTATTGTGCCTCGACCATTCGGCGAATTTATCCATCCCCATAGATTGCCAGAGGCTACGCGAGTATTGTGCCACAAGTTCCGAGCCTTTTCCTTCACCGTGTTACCTTCGATGAGGGGGCGTATGCCGTCATCGTCGCCGGGGCCATCGAGGTGCGGATATCGCAGGGAAAACTGGCGGCGACTGCGTTCACCGGTACCGGGAATAATCCAGGTGCCATTGCGTAGTTTCTGTCGTCGCGGAGGCATCGCGTTAGCATTTAACTCCTCCACCACCGTCTCGAAGATATATAGACGTGTTGGAATTTAAAGTCGCACGCGGAGACGTGACGCTACTAATCTCGCCATAGTTCGGTGACATGTAAAGAATAAAGAAAAGGAAATAAAAGAAGAAAGAAAATAAAAGATCGGTCAGTTGTCATAATAATAGAGTTTTTTGCTTACACTCCTAGCCGGTACTCTGCTAGGTCGCGATGGTCTCGAAGCTCCACCAGCACCGGGGTCATTACTAGTATTACTGTCGCTGGTCATAGCTTGATATTCGACGACGGCGGCCCTCTTCTTCCTCTTTCGTCCCGCGCGGCTCTCCTAGAATCGCTGTGGCATTGTCAACGGCAAAGAAAAAAAGAAAAAGAATACTCTGTAGAGACGAGGGAGATGATATGTCGTTATCCAAAAAAGGACACAAGAAAAGTTGTAAGCTGTAACACGCGCTTCTAGGGATGACAGCCTTTAAGCCTTTAAGGTCACTTGACGATGTTGGAACCCATAACTTTTGGCGGTTGTAGATGACCCACTTATTGTCTAGGTACAGAATCATTATTTTAACCAATGGAATGCCACTTCCTAGCCAAATGCGTCATCGCACGCGCTTCTACCTGCAATGGTAGGTACCTACCTAAGGTAGCCTGGAAACAAACGGTAGCAGCACCCCCACCCACATGCGTTACGTCTATGTACCTGTCACAAATTCGATCGACGCTACTTACATGTACATACCTACATAGAGGTAGCTTGCAACACCAAAAGTCACATTATACGATACCTAGATCCAAACAACATCTGCTAAGCTAGCATTATCATAGGCAGATTTACCTACTTCCAACCTCGCTCACTGGTTATCTGCCGCTTAAAGCATACAGCCACATCCTAACCTATTCAGAAACCGTTCCTATACGCAAGCTAGCTAGCTACATAGGTAGCCAGGCCCTACGTCGCTACCTAACTTCTCCTTACATCAGGTAGCTTAGGTAGCTGCACCTATCCATAAGGGAAAAAAAAACTAAAAGGAGAAACAAAAGTCGTGCTACAGAAAGATATAAGGGGGGAAAAGAAGCAGCAGCAAACAACACAATGGCCAACCTCCCCTCCCAACACCCACACCTCTCCCTACACCTAACCGACCGCTCCCTCACCCCCCTCATAACCTCAGCACCGCGCTCCCCCTCGCGCCTCGAAGCCCTAACCTCGCTCTCCCACGCCGCCCTCAGCGCGCACGAATCCGCCTTACGTCTGGGCTTAGGCGCCCCTCTACGCGTCATGGTCGAGCACGCCGACTCGGGACCTATAGTGCTACAATCGTTCCTACGCGCCGACACCAGCCCCAGCCCAACTTCCACCACCACCACCACCAACGACACCAACATCAACACCAACCCGCCTTCCACCTCCGCATCCTCCTCCTCCACCGCCGCCGACCCCGACCCCAACCCCAACTCCGAGCCCACAAACGGCACCCCTAACAGCCCCACCAGCCCCGTCGACCGCCGTCTCCAACAACTCCAATTCCCCGCCGACGCCGTCGACGGCGCCCCCGAGCCCGAAGACGCCAACACGCCACCCATGCTAATCAGCGTCGTCGTAGCCCCCAGCGCAGACGAAGCCCGTGACGCACGCCGCGCCGCGGCTAGACTCGAGCGCGTGGGTCGGGCGATACAAGCGCAGTGGGCCGAGGTGCAGACGGCGCAGGACGAGGGGGCAGGCGATGCTGGGGACTGAGATGGAGGGGGAGGGAGAAGGTACGGGAAATAAATAAACAAATAAATAAGAACGAAAAGAAAAGAAAAAGAAAAAGAAAAAGAAAAAGAAAAGAACGAGGAAGGTGGAAGGGGAAGAATACGGCGATGATAAGAGAGGAGGTATCGATCAGCTCGGCCAAGCGAGGAAGAGGAACTACTTTGTTCTCTGCCGGAGAGTCTGCCGCTGCGGCTTACTACGCGCACTGAAGCTTATAGCAGTCCGAAGGAGTACTTTTGGGGTCGAAGGGGGTTAGTTAGAAGCGAGTGGAAGCAAACCCAGCATATGGCTAAGAGGACAGACCCAGATTACTTGCAATGGGAGATCTACATGGATCATGTAGACTATCTGACTTGCGCGTTGCTTTCTACTAGGTTACGAGAGGTCATCTCTAAAAGCAATCCACGAGACATCTCTACATGGCTATTCTTACCCATGATGTACCAAGAGTATAATTATAGCTAGATGTCGTAAAATACTATCATCTACGAATCCAAATTGGATTCCGAGAACGGATCATCTTGAACCGGTCCTTATTCTATTCTAATACATCACATCGTAGCAAGAAACTCAAATTTCATGAGTAGGCCAATTTGTATTTATCTACAGATAGCCTACAGGGGTACTTCTGTTTAATTCATTGCATTTCTCGTGATATCGGATTATTTTGGCTCGCAAGTCTATACGTCCGCGAACACCGTCTGGTTCATTGCGCCAACTAACATAACCACACCAAGACTAAACAACATCGCTAGTCTAAATTTTTAAATGAGCTGCTGGAACGCGCGGTTGATGGGCGAGCGGATGTTGGGGATGTCCTTCCAGAAATTGACAGTGGCGACGGCCCTCTTCGAAATACCCTCGGGAGTGAATTCGAATTTCTATTCTCTTAATTAGTATACAATCGAAATACTAGGATCGGGAAAACTTGCCTTGTAGACGTCCTTGTAAGCGCCGGAAGCACCGAATCGGTTTAGGCCGAATTGCTCGTGGGTATATTTCTCCCAGCCCATTGTGCTCATAACCTCGACGGATAGAGACGGGATGCCGTCAGGGAGAACGCTCAGCCTGTATTCCTTGGTTTGCGCGTCGAAGACCTCGAAGCAGGGAATGGAAACGACACGTGCCTTCAGGCCGTGGTGCTCTTGGAGGTACTTGACAGCGTCAACGCAGATGCAGACTTCCGAACCGGTTGAAACGAGTGTGATATCGGCACCCTCAACATCGTGCAAGACGTAACCGCCCTTGTTCGCCTTATCGATGGACGAACCCTCGAGTTGAGGCAGGTTTTGTCGCGATAGAGCGATGATGCTAGGGGTGTGCTTAGAAGTCAAGGCTAGGTAGTAAGCACTGCTGGTCTCGTTGCCATCTGCCGGTCGCCATACCATCATGTTAGGCAGGGCGCGGAAGTGAGCGAGGGTCTCGATCGGTTGGTGAGTAGGGCCATCTTCACCAAGACCAATAGAGTCGTGAGTGGCGACCCAGATGACTCGGACCTGCGACAGCGCAGATAGACGTACGGCACCAGCAGCATAAGAGACGAAGTTTAGGAAAGTGCCCGAGTAGGGGATAAGGGTACCGTAGGCAGTAATACCGTTCATGATAGCGCCCATACCGTGCTCACGGACACCGTATCGGATGTATCGGCCAGAGTAGTCACCCAGCCCGGTCGATGGTGGCTGGAAGTCGACAGCGCCCTTCCATCGTGTCAGATTAGATGACGTCAAATCTGCGGAACCACCAATGAGCTCAGGGATAGCAGCTTCGACCTTCGACAGGACGATCTCGGAAAGCTTTCGAGACGCCACGGCAGCATCCTTAGGGGTATATACGGGAAGGTTCTTCTCCCAACCTTCGGGAAGCTCGCCCCTTAGACGACGGGAGAGGTCGGCATGTTCGGCCGGGTACTTGCTAGCGTAGCTAGCGAATAGCTTGTTCCACTCTTCTTCAAGAGCTGCGCCCTCGGTAGCCTTCTTGCCGTATAAGTCGTACACTTCTTGGGGTACGACGAAGGACTGTTCGGGGTTGAAGCCGAACTTCTGCTTAAGCTGCTTGATGTCGTCAGCCTTCAGGGGGGAGCCGTGAACTCCGTGAGTACCCTGTTGCAGAGAACCAAAACCGATGGTGGTCTTGAGCTTGATCAATGAGGGCTTGTCCTTGACATCCTTGCACTTTTGGATGGCCTTCTCGATGGACTCAAGGTCGTTGTCACCGTCAGTGACAATCTCGACGTGCCAGCCGTACGCCTCGTATCGTTTAACGACATCTTCGGTAAAGGCACAAGCGGTGTCACCGTCGATGGTGATCTGGTTGTCATCGTAGACAGCGATCAAGTTGCCTAGTTGCAAGTGACCAGCCAAAGAGCTAGCTTCGCTAGAAACACCTTCCATCAAGCAACCGTCGCCCAAGAAGCTGTAGGTGTAGTTGTCGACGAGAGGGAAGCCATCCTTGTTGAAAGTAGCAGCTGTTTGGGCCTGAGCAATAGCAAGACCAACAGCGTTAGAAATACCCTGTCCAAGAGGACCAGTAGTAACTTCGATACCCGGGGTATCATGCGCCTCGGGATGTCCGGGAGTGATGCTGTCGATTTTCTATACTTTGTAAGTATTGCAACCACCTTACAGTACGGTAAGTAAACTCACTCGGAAGTTCTTGATGTCATCCATAGACAGTTCATATCCAAAAAGGTGGAGGAGAGCGTATTGGAGCATGCATCCGTGCCCGTTGCTAGACCCGTAATTAGTGGCGGAAAGAAATAGTCAGAAATTAATTTGACTTACGAGAGAACGAATCGATCACGGTTCAGCCACTTTGGGTTCTTGGGGTTGAACTTCATGAACTTGTTAAATAGAACGTGGGCAGCCGGTGCCATACCCCTAAATCGGTTAGTATAAAGTGCTTCTTTCCTAAATAACCAGTACGATTCTGGCTATCGGTGTTCTGTTACTCACATGGGCGCGCCAGGGTGGCCCGAGTTGGATGCGAAGGTGGCATCGGCCTAGAAAACGACAATTGTCAATACAATTTGCTCTATCCTACTATCCTACTATCCTACTAGAGAAACTCGTGATGTAGGCAAGAGAAGGGCTCGGAAAGCTTCAAATGAGCTCACGATGGAGGGGCAAAGCGGGGGCGGGGTTAACTGAAAAGAGTCGTCATCTTACAGCAAGAACACGGATCGTGTTAATGGCGAGCCAATCTGTCTCGGTGTATCCCATGGTTGCGGTTTTTACGACGATGCCTTGGGAATTGGTATTAAAAGAAAGTCGATGGAGGAAAGAAAAGGTTTGAGGGAAGGGGAAGAGAAAGAGAAGGTGGGAAGATTTGCGGGTGGTTAAAGTGTTTTTGATTTTCTGTGACGACCGGCAACGGTCCTCAAATGGGTCCTTAGTCTTAGCTTTAAGGCTTCTTAGTGGAGGGAACAAGGCCTGACACGATGTATGTATCTAGTCGGTAACAGCTTCTCTAAGGCATTTTACATAGACGATCAATCATAGGCAAGTACGCTTAGCGACATGGGCAAGTAAGGTAAGGTAGGCAAGTATAATGCATACTACATTATGGGGCTGGGGGGGTCTATTGACATTATGTCAGCAATGGTGTCAGTATAATTACATAATTACAGGCCCCGATACTATGTCAAGACCATGTCAACAGGTCGATACAATGTCAGCAAGACTTGTTGTACCGATTTCATTGCAGGTACCTATAAGTCAGTACTAATAGATAGTATGTCAAGGTATTTATTATGTTAGAGGTACTGTCTATTTCGCCGTAATTGCCAGGCCTGTTGACGATGTCCAAATAACATAACGATGTCAGGAATTTAACATAATGTCAGCCCCGGGTATATACAGGTTAAATAAGGGCCTGAAGTATGCATATATACTGCAATACGGTAAACTTTAATCGTAATCGTAATTCGTAATGACCTCGTAGTGTAATGGTAAAACACGTAGCCCGTAACATCGTAACATCGTAGCCTGTAATTCAACGTATTGACATAATCTTTTCAATTGACTTTTACATGTGCCTGTGCCTTTGCTATATATATATAAGTATGTTGAAGGCCTTGTATTAGATTACAAGGCCTTCAATCCTTTTTTTTTTTTTTTTTTAATATTATTAGGCCCTTGGATGGTGACGATGACCTGGCCTAACATAGTTTCGTACGTGACATATGTCGATTAGGTGACCGTGACTACCGTTGGTGACGATGTTTAAAAGGCCACTCTTTCTTAATATATTAACATTTCGAAAGTAATACAATTACGACAAGATATAATCGTGTACGTACGGTAGCTATTTCAGACCTGGTTATCCTTATAATTTGGATGCGATTACCCCCAAAGGTGGTTATATCAAAAGGGATAGCCAATCAGCCAGGGGACTGATTCCTGACTGTTACATGGCCGACATTATGTCCACACCTTATCACTATTGCTGACACTATGTCAATAGACCCCCCCAGCCCCATAATGTATGAGGTACATTTGATGTATGTAATGTACATGCGGGCAAGTGGGGGTGGGGTTTTTGTTCTACCTGCTGTAATGAAGTGGGCTGAGTGGACATAAAGCTAGGAATCGGATCCGATAGTCAGACGGCTGCCAGTAGGTAGGTACCTAGCTTAGCTAGAAGACTCCTTAATATAGGTAGACTGGATCATCAGCGGCATTATTTCGTCACCCTTCCCCCCTTATCAAAACCCTCAACATAATACATAGGCTTGCCAAGCTCTAGTGTAAGTCGTCTCCAAAACATCTTCTCCACCAAAGTCCACCAAAGTCCAACAGCGCCTCAACTGATTTTTTTTTCCTTCGCGAAGGTAGTCACTTGTTGAAAGCTAGGTACTTTGCCACTATATCATGTCAATACGGTGATACATCGTAACCACTTATATAAACTACGTCATTCCTTCACCGTTCAACTTTTATATTCGCGATTTCACATCAAGACTTCGTAATACATACAATCCCATTCATATAAGACCGATTTCTTAGAATAATGCTGCAAAATCTTACCTACATGTGACATGCCTCTTACTACGCAGGGGACCACAGACAACCACTCCGACTTCGTCTATCAAGGTAGTTGAGATATATACCTATCTATGTAGATATATATATATATACTCAGCGCATCTTGCTCTAAACGCAACTCTAGCCCGCTCTACAGCCCTGCAAGACAGACGCATTGCCACCCATCTGATAGGTCCGGAAAAAGGCTCATTGCCTACAGCAGCGTCTAGTATAAGACTAGTACCTAGTTGTCCGGGGGATTTGTACCATAACTACCGCCATCTAAAGCATCTATCTCTCGGTAAATTCTATGTATACCCACTAACTCAAGGCTAGTTCTAAGAATTCGATTACACATCGGACTTAGGACATTGTATATATTTACCTTGATATCAATATCCACGTCAGCCTTTGTAAGCCTCTGTATTAGATACCTAGTTCTCGGTATTAAAAGCCTATGGCAGAAAATAATCCCGAAAGGTGCGCCATATTAGATACCTACTCCAGAGTTCGCAGGCGCACTTGGCAAGCCTATTCCAGCAACGTGAGTAAGTAAAGGAACATCATTCGAGGGTCATTCACCTTAGTTTTAACACCTCTTACCGTGCCAATAGCAAGACACGTACGCGGAGCATGCGCTTCTCTCGTGACACTCGCGTCCTTTATCAAATACTTCGCCGCTAACCTCGCGGCTATGTACATTGTATAAAACATCACGCCTTCTTGCTTGGTCATCTTGATATAAGTTAAATCGGTCGGGTCGACCGGAGTGTCCAGGTACTGACTCAAACACCCTTTATCTTAACAACAATATGGAGAACAAATTGTTCATACCTCGGTCCGAGATGTTTGCTATGTGATGTTTTCTTGACGAAGTGGAAAAAGTTCGGAGTTACCGGTATTCTGATAACTTTGACTCGTATAGCAGTCTGGGACTTTCTTATTATCACCGAATTGGTGTTTGTGAAAACCTATACTACATCTATATACAAATAATAAATATAATTAGTGTACATCATACGCAAGATCTATAACAAGTACGTACAGATTAAAAGCGTAGGAATAAAATGACTGTATTAGCCGTGCTATCAGTATATTTTCAATGCGGCGGCATCCACTTAACGATTTCGAGTCACTTGAAATTTTTGACCAAACGAACCCTCAATCCCGCAAATGAAATAACCCAAAAACCCCAAAATAACCCAGACCAACGCATCTAGAATATAATAAAATAAAATATGCACAGCAACAGGAGAAGATCACCCCAGCGAGCCGCAAAAGCATACACCCATCCACCCAAAGGAACCACAGCGAAAAAGTCCAAGCCATCCAAGCCATCCAAGCCGACCCCTCGCGCCTCCAAATCCACACCCGAGGCCGCGACACCAGAGGACCCTACTCCTACTTCGGTCCCCACAGCGGAAACCAAGTCGCAGCAGACCCTCCTCGACGTCTTCAGCGACACGTTCAACCCGGTTCTCAGCGCCCCCGACTTCAGCCCCGTCCTGCAGAAAGTCAAGCAGGCCCTATTCAACCGGGACTTCGAGGCGGCCTTCGGCAGCGAGCAGTTTCTAGAAGTATACGCTGCGCGATGGAGTCCGCCGCGCGCGCTGTGCTACGGCAGGGTGTTGAGGCAGATTGCTGGTGAGATGGAGCCGCTGTTACTTGCTGCCAGCGGGGAGGATGAGCTCGATGAGATTGAGTTTGGACGGGTTTCGCCGACGCTCGACCTAGAGGAGCTACAAGATGCAAAGCGTAGCGCTACGTTAAGGATGCTTGCGATCGGCGGCGGCGCCGCTGAAATCGTGGCTTTTGGCGAGTACCTCCGTAGCGCAGGGGCCACGGTCTCCGGCGACCTTACGTTGCTAGACACCGGCCCATGGGGCGAAGTAGTCCAGAAGTTGCATACCGGCCTGACGACTTCGCCGCCCTTACCCGAGTGCGCGAGCGCCACGGCCAAAGCAACCAGCGCGGCCCTCGTCGAGCCGACAGAACGTCTGCGGTCGACTTTCGTGCAGCAAGATGTACTCCAGCTCGACAGCGCCAGGCTCTCGAGTCTACTAGGCCAGACGCCGCTACTCGTCACGTTGCTATTTACGCTCAACGAGCTGTACACGTCCGGCGGGATCAAGATGACGACAGCTTTTCTGCGGAACCTAAGCGCTACTATTCCAGCCGGTTCGCTGCTCCTTGTCGTCGACAGCCCAGGAAGCTACTCAGAAGCAGCGGTAGGCAAGGAGGCGAAGAAGTACCCCATGCAGTGGCTCTTAGATCACACTCTCCTCCAAGCCGACAAGCTGCCAGCCGAGGGATGTCGGTGGGAGAAGATACAATCACACGACTCGGTCTGGTTCCGCCTCAGCGGAGGACTGCGGTATCCTATGGATTTGCAAGATATGCGCTACCAGATGCACCTGTATCGGGCTATCCCCCGGTCTTCTGACTGAGGAAGCCGACGTCTACCTGCAGAACTCTAGATACATGCTCCTAACCACCGATTACCACTACTAGCCAAGGAATGTCTACTAGTCTATCATGCCCAAACCAGCTTCTTTATGCTGTGACCTAACTGCTCTAGAATGCCCGTGCTCCGCTTCGCCTCGGCGAGGGAGATAATATCACCTTTCTCGACGATGTTCTTCCGCTCCTCCGAACCGGCCGGAGCCGGCTGGTTATAGAACACCAGCCGCTCTATCTCCGTCGCGATGACGTTTATCTGCTCGCTCTCTGTCATCTTCTTCACTTCCTTCGTGTCCGACACGGCCGTCGTGGAGTGCAGTGCTTTTAGAGCGATCTTCCGCGGCGCCTGTGTCTGCGGCTTACCTGTGATGGCGTTGAAGATGCCCTGGTTCAGAATGCCGGACACGACGGCCGGCGCTGCAGCCGGATCCTTTAGCACGTTTTTTGCTCCCGATGATTCGTCAGATTGTTCTGACATGCTGGACAGTGATCGTGTATTAGTCCTCTTGATATCAAACTTGCCCGGCTCGTAAGTCACGACGATACCGACGTTCTTCGACTCGTCGGCCTCCGCGGGGGAGATGGCCGAGGTTATGTACGTGCCGACCTTGACACTGACTATATGAGCCAAGTCCACCCTTTCGAATGAGGATACCTTGTCAAGCTTCCAGTCGAACCGGCACAAGTATAATGCTGTGTCGGTCAGAAGGAGCACCACTTCTTCGAACGGTAAAGCCTTGAGAGTGTCAGATATATGAGGGCTCAGCAAAGTCCACCCGCCAATAAAATCCTCCTTGTCATCTTCTATGGCGATCTTCTGCGATGTCTCGATAGCTTGCTCTCTCATCTTTGACATTGAGACCCCTGGGTCTTTACTCATCATGGTTGCTTCGAACTCTTCAAACACCATGGAGGAAACGTTGCCGAGGAAAAAGTCGATAGCGGCCTGAGAGAAATAATCGTTCACCATTCTAGCACGTATGTGTAAGTAGGAATTAGCTTAGCTACGCAATTATTTCTTACCCGTTATAAAACCGCGTTAAGGATAAGCCGAGGTCGTTCACCATCCCGCGATAATCCCGTTTTCTTGTCCTGGTGTAGTCGCCTTTCATCGCAGCAGTAGAGGCATCTAAATCTAGAGTCAGAAAATTTAAAAATTCTAGCTCTCTCATAAGGCCGACAGGATCTCAATATCTTAATCAGGTGGGGGTTTGACTGACATTGTTTAGATATAGCGTCTCCATTATCAGCCCAGAGAGTATTAAACCACGAGTTCTCCTGGTCAAGCTGGACTGACATGTCGAAGCCCTCTTCTTTCAGCTGCAGATCAAGCATAAACTTGCCAAAAGAACTTTGGCAAACATTAGTACGGTCGAGGCAATCCATACAATTCGTTCTTAGAACGCCATTTTGCTTCCGTTCTATTTGACCGTTTCTTTCCACAGTACTGCCGGTCTCTTCGATCTTTTTACCCAGGATATCTAGAAGTAAGCTCACGTTTTCAAACTTCATTCCGCGGCACGCAGAATGAAAATCAAACCACTCAAAAGCAAGTGACCGGGAGTCTTCCGCCTCTTGTTCATTCAGTTTTTGAGCCGCTTTTTCGTATTCTCTACCAATTATAGCTTCAACACCATGCTTCTCAACTAAGTTTACTAATTGTATAGATCCATATGTCTTGCCCATAAGTTCGAAGTGTTTCTTGAACGCTCTAAAATTCGCTTCTGGGGAATGCTGTAGTACTGGAATCGGTTTAAGGGAATATGGTGACTGTGTAAAGAAAAGTGGTATACTACCTCGAACCTGGACAAAAGAGGAAATTTTAGATGAAGGACCCCACGTTGGAGTCGAGAGTATCTGCTCCGTCTCGACAAAATTAGCAGTATAACCGTTTTCGTCTATACCACGCCGTAGATATCGAAGCCCAGCTCGCCTGGTGGACCTCCTGGAAATGATGGTGATAACAAACTCCTTCTCAGACGGCCTTAGATCGCTGGATGCTCTCTCCGGCGGAGGAAATTCGACATTGTACTCTGGGGGAGGCGTCATATTGTTCATTTCCATGGAATCTTCCTGAGAATCGACTTGCGGTGGATAACGATCCACAACGAACCTCCTCTGTCCCACAAAACCTTGCATTACTGGTAATAGTAATGATTCGTCACCAGATCCGTGGAATGGCTTTAACAAACTACGGTTCCAAAAGAATGTGGGATCAGCTGCTTCGTGAAGCGGGAGGCCATCTGTGATTGATGTTACGGACTGACTGCCAAGGCTTCTCGTAATATCGAAATCATAGGAGAAAAAGAAGCTCCTAGACGTCCCGAGCCAGATATGCGCAAATCGCAATAGCTTCGGTATTAGGCTCTCACCAGCTGACGGTGTCGGAGGAAGGTTAACCTTCTCCTGCACCACGGTATCGCTCAACTCCTTATCTGAATCTCCTTTCTTCGCCTTGTTCCTCCCATCGCCGGCCTGGTCGCCCGCCCGGTCGGATTCGACACTGGTGATGCCTAGGTTTCGTTTCTGGTCCATCATCCAGCCTTTGCGGCTGAACCAGCGCTGAGCAAATCGCCCATAGCTCCCGCGGCGCTTTATGACATCTTCGGCTATGCTACTCTTCGTGCCTGCTCCTGGCGCGTCTTTGTCTTCAGAAGTCTCGCGATCGCTTATAGCTCCTGGGTCTTCCGCATCGTCGCCACCCAATACTGAACGTGTATCAACCTCGCTCTCCGAATCGCTGTCTTCGACAAATTTCTCGGCTGACGTTTGTCGTAGTTTGATTGCTGTGTTCGCAACGGCTGATTCGGCCTCGCTTCGACTCGTACACGGGGTGAGCGCGACGTCAGTGACAACATAGACAGGAAAGCCGCGAACCTGCGCAACTTGCTGGCGGCCGGTGATTGTGATAAGGTAGGTTAGACGGGAGACAGTGAAAAGTCCTATAGAGAAGCCCAATTAGAAATTACTTGGACGAGTCTATTTACGAGCGTTATTTGTTTTAGATAAGACGAACCTACAACCCCGAAAGCCTCAAAGGACGAGTTTGGTTTCGAGGTGTCCGGTATTTGATCGCGAGGAAGCGAAGATACTGTAGCATCTTCATACTTGATTTTGACGGGCGCAGGAGTTCGTTGCCCTTTTGTCGCAAGAGGTTGGACTATAAGGCCGTCGACGGCTGCACATATAAGCAGCTTTCGCGCTAGATTAGGCATTCTTAGTGGCTAAACATTCAATCATGGTACTCATAAACCGGCGAAGAGACTCTACTATATTTGAATGAAAAGAAATTGTATCAATCTTGAGAAGTGATATGGTCTTTTTGGGTCTTTGCTATGATGTCTTGGATGATTTAGTTTTTGGTGGGGTTGCTGATGCCCGTCACAAGGTGGGGCGGAATCTCTAAGGGCTGGTTGGTCTAGGACGCGCCTAGATGCAGGTATACATGTTACATACGCAGGTACATACATGTATATTAAGGTTAGATGTACTAGGCCCCAAGATGATGTACCAATGGCTTAAGAGCTTAAGCAGATACGCCATAATCGTGAAGCATGGGGCAAAAAATAGGGTCAAGACTTTAAAGGTAGCGAATAACGAATCGAGAAGCTTGCTGATATGCAGATTATATTCTCTATATCCGCATCTATTCTTCCCCAAGCTACGGGACTATAGCTTTTAGCCTAGTATATTTCCCAACGTAGCAACCTGAATTTCTTTCCTGGCTCTTGGGGTATCTTAAATCATGAGGCGCTCAATCTTGTCCCTCAAACTGCGGATCTGGCCAGAGAGATCGCTTGCCTCGTTGGAGAGGATACTCGCGGCGATGACAGCTCGGGATACACCGCAGGCTCTGCCAAGAGCGATCTGTCTAGTTGTTAGTGCTTTACGGTATAGTCAAGATAATTCCCAACAAACCTTGCTAGGGATATAGCAGTAGATGACGTTCTTGTCTTCGCAGAGCAAAGGCAGGTGCAGAAGAATGGCAAGCGGAGTAGTATCGGCGGCCAAAATGACGATCTCGGCAATACCTCTGGACAGCGCCTTGGTTACTTCGTTCGCTCCTTTCTTGAGCTGGCGGGCATCTGTATGGGAGCACAATTAGTGGACAGAAGGTAAAAAAAGGTAACTGGTGTATACTCACGGCCAGCCTGTTGCACCAAATCTAAAATCTCCTGGGTAAGGGAAGCATCGGCGACGGGCCAAGCTGATGATAGGTCAGTACGGTATCCAGACAGAAAAGGTAGCTGTGTTAGAACTTACCTGCACTTTGATCCTGGTTAGCAGACATGTTGACGGAGCAGGGTTCCTTGCGGTTGCTCGCCCTGAAGAGGAATATGTGGAATAATGGGTAAAAGGTTGACGAAGTCTCGAAGATCGGAGTGAAGAAATATTCAAAAAAGAAAAAATACAAAAAATGTTCGACACGGTCAAAGCTTCTGAATGCCAAGAACTTTATTTGTCGGTCAAACCTTATGCCGGTATCCGCTGACATAATCGATCCTGCAGGTGACCCGGAGCTGCAAAATCAAACCCCCAATCAAAGGGCAAACCTAGAACAAGGCAAAGCAACACCTCTCTCTCCCCGTAATACCTCCCCATTACTACAGCAACTTTAAACAATCTCTCATACTTTAAGCTCGCCATCAACACCCGGTTTAATCTACCACTCTCATCTGTTCGCCTCTAAAGTCTATCATTCCACGTTTCTCTATTTTCGTTTTTACTTCCAAAAACCCGCTTACGCAGTCACAATGTCATACTCCGAAGCTTGGTACGTAATTGATGATTGCCTCCTTACAAGTATCCCATCATGGTCATCATCGCAAGCTTAAGGCTACATCGCTTTTGTTGCTATTGAGCTTGTGATGTGATTTATCTAATTCAATATGCTAACGTCTTCTTCTATAGCCCGGTCTACGCGGTTAGTTTACCTTCCCTTGGCGCGCGTCTCGGTCATGATCCATCTATCCCTTAACCTTCGAGACGAATGCGACTTCGATATACAAAGCTAACCTCCGGTAGCCCTTCTTTGGCGCCATGGGTTGCACAGCAGCCATCGTCTTCACCTGCTTAGGTGCTTCCTACGGAACCGCCAAGTCCGGTGTTGGTATCGCGGCTATGGGTGTTTTGAGACCTGACCTCATCGTGAAGAGTACGCGCCATCTCCGGCCATCAATACATTCTAAACGAAAGCACTAACTTTTTTCAGATATTGTTCCCGTCATTATGGCTGGTATCATTGGTATCTACGGTCTCGTCGTCTCTGTCCTGATTTCCGACGGTTTGACCCAACAGCTCCCTCTCTACACCGGATTCATTCAGCTGGGTGCGGGTCTCTCGGTGGGTCTGGCTGGTCTGGCTGCTGGTTTCGCTATCGGTATTGTTGGTGATGCTGGTGTACGAGGAACCGCTCAGCAACCCAGACTCTTCGTCGGCATGATCCTTATCCTCATTTTCGCTGAAGTCTTGGGCCTCTATGGTCTCATCGTCGCCCTTCTGATGAATTCCAAGGCCAGCGTCGATGTTAGCTGTTAAAGGAACGTCGCCGACACCACAACGGCCTTCTGTTCGACGCGGTAGCCTGAGGATTAGGGGCAATGGCAAGTTATTACTAAATACGCTTGGTACGCCCCGATCTTACGGGTTACTTCGTCCGAATAAACACTACATACGACTTAAATTACGGCAAGGGCTAGCCCAGCAATCGAAGACAAGGAACTACGAGTTCTAAGGCTGTCAGGGGATGTGACAAGAGTGGTAGAATGGGGCATATGGTGACGACTGAGCAAGAACCCGCATTTGTATTACTTGTTGCTGCATACGTTGTACGCTCCGGAACGGTTTCTCATCATAGACTAACAGATGGGAAATCATGTACTCTAGGTTGGTAATCGGTTCTCATGGAAGAAAGAGTTTTTTAAATCAAAATTTTTGTTTGCCATTAAAAATGCAACGAGTTCGTCGTACATATTAGCGTCTCACAAAGCGTAGGTAGCCTATATACTCCAAGCTACGCTCAATAGTTGTTACTGACCGAACAATCCGACCATGTGATTTGAATTCGATGGGTGTTATAGCGTACTTGTCAAACACAATACTTAGGTAGGTATCTAAGACATTATTACGAGGCGAGGCCTTCTACCGAACTCATGAATGTAAAGCGCTCAGTTCGGGTACACCTAGTAAAGCTATTTCTCATACAACGAGTTCTTCTTAGTCCATATCTTGAATAAAAATAAAATAAAATAAAAAGGCAATTGCTTATGTAATAGCACAAAACGAGCAACCATCAATCAATCACATGCATCGCGGGATTGACACTATCCCTAAACAGGAGGCAACCCCCCGGGGCTGCACAATAGCCCGAGTTTACGTAACAACCCTTACATAATCGCCTGGCTATACCATAGCCCCGAAGTTATCCCGGCCACACTTTCCTAGGCCCCGGGTTCGATTCCTCAACCTCGCACCTTTATTTATTTTTTAATTAACGCATGACTCAACAGGCAAAGTTAGCGGCGCTTCGCGCCGCTGCCTTTGCCTCTATCGAAAGCAAAAACGAAAGCGAAAACGAAAGTATAAACGAAAGTTTATTACTTTTATTTTTGGTAGCCTATCGCCAAATCATGTGTTTAAGTCACGTGCGGCTACGTGGTCACGTGGTATTATCTTATCAAAGGACCCACATCCAAGTGATGCACCCAATCAAAGCGATTTTAGCCTTCGGAGTTAGTTTTCGATGAAAATGCCAAGCCATGCCCCATATATACAGGTCGTGCACCCAATCAAATCGCTTAAAACATGGTGCACGTGCCAGATACTGCCCATTGAGTTACTTTCCTATTTGGGCCATGGAAAAAATTCGACACAATAACCCCTCGTAAACTCGGGCAAATTCGGAATTACAATTTAATCACAAAAAAAATTTTCAAGTCGTAAAAAATTGATAAAATCAAAAAAAATTAAAGTCTGTAATGTCCTCGGTGAGGCTCGAACTCACGACCTTTGGATATCCCAACCTATGGCTGGATCACACGAATAGTATGAGACCAACGCTCTAACCAACTGAGCCACGAAGACTTATTTTAGACTATTGGACGGGGGACTTTGCTTGTTTCCAAGACTCGCCTTGCCCCGCTGATACCAATCGGCTTCTTAATAGAGTTTAAGTAGTATTGGAAGGGAGGATGTATCCACATAACATATTGTCCTATTCTCAAATTAGTTAGCCACTTTGCATGTTAGGTTTAGGCCTATCAATTAGATCCAACTTACACGCATCATCATCAACTTCCATGTTCTGATTTCCGACATCAGACGTATTGTTGGCGGAGGCGGCCTGTAAAATATATTAGATACTTTATTTAGTTACTCACGAAAGTATATAAATAAAATAAACTAACCTCTTCTTTCGCATTTTGGAGGCGGGCCTCTAGGTGCTCGATATCTCGAGCTATTTTCCAGGGCAGAGTTATGTGCAGCCTCGGACGCGTCCTCGCTCCTGGGACGCTTGACACCGTGCACCAACGGCTCAAGTTTAAAAAGGAGGTGCCATTGTAATGAAGCTTCGAAAAAGAGGTTGAACCTCTCTGCCGACTGGTTGCTGACGGCGTAGATAATATTGCCGACGATAGTGGAATGTGCCGCTTGGGCATGCTTGACATCGGCGAATTCCTCATCGCCAGCCGTATAATACTCGCTCTCGTCCTCGTCCCCAACCAAAGCCATAACGGCCTCAATAGACCTCGAATGCATATGTCGCTTCATATAAGCGATAGCAATGTGTCGATAAGACTGGAAATTATTTTTTGGCCTATTGAACTCTCTGCAAGGTCTGTTAAGGGATCAGAGAAGAGGAAATCAGAGTCGATCAAGTCAGTTTCTGCCCCGTCGCCACCAGGGGCACCTGCAGGTGCAGTGTAAAAGGTTGCGTGACGTACGTTGTTTATTATGCTAATATAATAATTAGTATATCATAATATTTAGTAGTATGAGTTCTGATGGTGGTTATAACTGGATGTTAGAGGGAGAGGAATAGCATTGCAAACCATAGTTCCAACAGGGTATAGATAGCAAGGGAAGGAATAAAAATCAATATTGTACATAATGAGTAATGAATGCGTGATCCTCGGTTGTAGTTCTTTAGAGACGGGGGAATATATAGTATGGGCTGGGCTGAGCGTGGGCTGAGCATGGCCAAGGTAGGGCAGCTATTTGGAGTTACTGCAACTAGAAAATACGAACTGTATTTAATAGTGTTCTCGATGATTGGATCGTGATTCCAGGACATTGAACGGGGTGCGTCGACGTAATGAATCCATATACATACCTCATATTCGCGAACTTCAAATGGTGTCAGGATTCTAAATGAGACATCTAGGACGGAGGACATGCTCGGCATGTATAGCCATAGGCTTCCCTAGTTAGGTTAGAGTTCTTCGCGGAACAACGAAGTTGTTTCGATGCTGTTTGGTTCAACCTCGTAAGACTTGTAAAAAGAGAGAAAAGGAATTCTAACGTGGGAGAGCGACCCAAACCCTACATGAAACTCAGTACTTAGTTTTTAGGAATTAGCTATGTCGACAAGAAGGACTTTCCAACCTAATCTCAAGGCAAGTGCCAAGCATTGCCTGCTAGCACTATAGCTGAGCAAGTTGTATAAACCCACATACGTAATTAATGTAATCTAGAGAGGCAAACAGAGAAAGAGTAAACAAGCTGAAGGAAATCACACAAGTACTTCCGTTGGGCTTAGGTAAACTTGCGAGGTTCCAGTACATGTATATAGGGGGGAATTTAGCTATTTAGTGCCGAGATACAAGTATAGGTATAATGGCACCTCGATCGAGTTTATAGAAAGAGCCATTCGTAATATACTAAAAAGGGGGGATCACTTTATATCTGTGTGTATAGAGCGGGTCACAAGCTGATTTAAGTTCTGAGACCAACTCCTGACAACTTTGAGAAATATCAAGATAGCCTTTGAGATCATTTTAGTCATATGATTACAGGACATGTACCTAGGTATGTAGTCTCTTAGAGGCGACATAGCTTGTGAGGTATATATATATATATATTTATATAAGAGTTTAGGTTTATAATTAATGTTCATGTTATTAAGTGCCAGCGAGACACGGTGCATTGCTCTTAATAAGGCTATGTCTACCTAGACAGAATAATCAAAGTATATCCTCAAGTGCTAGAAAAATACAGTGCACATTCCACATCTATGGCGCATAAAGACGTCTAGAGTACCTTCTTCGAGGGAGACAGCCAGAGTTTCGCGTGACATAAGAGATCCTCCATTCCTGCCTATAGCATTCCATCTCCACCTGTCCATAGCATTGCTCTACCTATTTAGGTAGTGGCCGCCTGGTTTGGATAGCTGGTGTTGGTCAGGGAAAGCTATGGGCACAGCTATAATGAAGCTCAAGTAGTTCTTTGCTGCGCTACGTCTCCATTTTCACGATTTGGTCGAGAAACTTGCTGCAATGGATGCGACTGGGTTACTCAATACTCTACTACCCCAAAGACCGCGTCGAATGAGAAGCCTGCATATCCGCGTATTCCGTTCTGTGTATTTTCCCACAGATGCACCTCTCGTCTAAGTAATTCACCTACTAGATGCAGGTAGCTACCTACCTATGCACCGTAGCTATGCAGCTCAGCTATGAGATCACCAGCTCGTGGCTGCAATGTCCGTAATGTAGTTGTATAAAGGCCGAAGAAGCCCCCGAGAAGGAGAGCTTAACGAGAGTGAAGTAGATCAGGTTGCAATGAAGACGCTCGTTACTCTAGCTGCCTTTGTGGCCGGTGCTCTCGCAGTGTCCGTTGAGGATTGTCCTGGTTATACAGCTTCAGACGTTGTCGATACGGATGGCACGCTCACTGCGGACTTGTCTCTCTCTGGTGATGCATGCAATATTTATGGAACAGATCTACCCGACCTCAAGTTGCTAGTCGAGTATCAGACTGGTATGTCGTTCATGCCCGATCTAACATCACTATGATAGTATACTAACTAAATAACACATAGATGCTCGGCTACATGTGAAGATATATGATGCCGGCCTTGATGTATACCAAGTCCAGGAACATATACTCCCGAGACCATCCAGCCAAAATGTTTCTTCGTCAGATGCCGCCCTACAGTTTTCACTTATAGAAGAGCCCTTCTCCTTTGCTATTAAACGATCTAGCTCGGGAGAAGTCTTATTCAACACCAATGGCAGCCAATTGGTTTTCAAATCTCAATATGTCTACCTTAGAACCCAGTTACCTAAAAATCCCAACATATACGGACTGGGCGAGCATACCGACTCCTTTCGACTTCCTACTGAAAAATACCAGCGTACTTTCTGGAATTTAGAGTCCCCATTCATTCCGCGGCACGCAAACCTCTACGGAACTCATCCGATATATATTGACCATGGAAATGCTTCAGGTTCTCATGGTGTCTTTCTCTTAAATTCTAACGGGATGGACATCAACATAAACCAAACAGACTCGGGTAACCAATTCCTAAAGTACAATATCATCGGCAGTATACTTAACTTTTATTTCTTAGCCGGGCCTAGTCCTTCCGAAATTAGTCGACAGTATGCTAAAGTTGTGGGCTTGCCTGCTATAATGTCTTACTGGACATTTGGTTTCCATCAGTGCAAGTATAAATATTAGGATGTCAATTATGCGGCCGAAATTGTTGCGAACTATTCTACGGCAAATATCCCCCTCGAAACGCTATGGGGCGATATCGATTATATGGATCTTCGACAGGTTTTCACTACAGATCCGGAGCGGTTTCCTTTACACAAAATGCGAGAGCTGGTCGCTACTCTACACAAGAGAAACCAGCATTATATTATGATGCTTGATCCTGGCATTCATAGAGCTAATAACTACTCTACTTTCACTAGAGGCGAGGAAAAAAGCGTTTTCCTCAAAGCTAATGACGGGTCTGACTATCGCGGAGTGCAATGGGCTGGTGAGGTTATCTGGCCGGACTGGATCGCACCAAATACCCAAGACTGGTGGACGAACGAGATCTCGCTCTTTTTTGATCCTGAAACCGGTATCGATATTGACGGGGCCTGGAACGACATGAACGAAGCCTCCAACTTCTGTCCCGATATCTCCTGTGACCCGGCACAAGCAGCTAAACAAGGCAACAACCCCCCTCAGCCAGCCAACCCTCCCCGAGACAACACCGGACGACCCATCCCCGGGTTTCCGGATGACTTCCAACCAGCCTCGGTCGCCCAGTTTGGAAAGCTCCAGTCAAGGCAGACGACCGGTGGGCAGATGAAGGGTCTTCCCGACCGCGACCTTTTCAAGCCCAAGTACCGCATCAACAACCACAAGGGTGAACTGAGCGACTCCACACTATATAGTAACATCACGAACGCAGACGGCACGTACCAATACGACACGCACAACCTCTACGGCCTCACAATGATAACCGCAACACGCAACTCACTCCTAACCCGGCGCCCTGGAAGACGTCCCTTCGTACTAACACGCTCGTCCTTCGCAGGCGCCGGATCCCGCGCCGCGCACTGGTTCGGCGATAACTCGACATGGTCGGACTACCGAGTAACTATCCCGCAACTCCTAGGCTTCACAGCCGTGCACCAAGTGCCAATGGTAGGATCCGACGTATGCGGTTTTAACGGGGTCGCCGACGAGCACATGTGCGCGCGATGGGCGCTACTAGGCGCTTTCATGCCGTTCTACCGCAACCACGCGGACATCTCGGCTCCCGCCCAGGAATTCTACCTCTGGGACCTGGTCGCGGAGGCCGCGCGCAAGGCTATCGATGCTCGGTATAGGTTGCTTGATTACGTGTACACGGCGATGTACCGCGCCAGCACGACAGGCGAACCGATCGCCAACCCGTTATTTTTCGTGTATCCGGAGGATGCGAAGACATTTGGGATTGATACGCAGTTTTTCTACGGGGATGCGCTGTTAGTTTCGCCTGTGACAGACGACTACTCCGACTCCGTTACGTATTACCTCCCCGACGATATTTTCTACGACTTCTGGACGCTGGAGCTGGTTCGGGGGACGGGTGCTACGGTTACCGTGGACAATGTGACTTGGACTGATATCCCGGTACATATTCGTGGCGGGTCGGTGTTGTCGCTGCGGACGGAGTCGGCGAATACTACGACATTGTTGCGGCAGAATGATTTTCAGATTGTTGTTGCTCCGGGCTTGGATGGGAAGGCGAAGGGGTCGTTATATCTGGATGATGGGGATAGCCTGGATGTGGGCGATGCTAAATCGGATATAAGCTTTACGTGGGATGGGACGACGTTTAAGGCTGATGGTACTTTTGGGTATTCGACTGGGGTTGTGGTGGAGAGTGTAGTGGTCCTCGGCGGCGAGAAGCCGGTTGCTCAGAAGGGACCGTGGTCTCTTGATGGGCCATTTGAAGTTATATTCCAATCTTGAGTCGAATCTTGAAAGAGTTTCGAGTTAGTATCAGATAGTGTATATCAACCCCCCTTTTTGAATATAGGAGAATTATAAAAGTATATTATAAGATAGTTAACATTAAGGCCCCCTTTCTTTTCGTTGTGGTCTTGCTAAGCACAGCTATTGCAAGTGCTAACGAGCAATGATCTAATCACCTAGTTAGAGGTGTTCTATGGATTTGATTGGAAAGTCGAATAGATTTACCTCTAGAACAGGACATGTCCCTCTAAGCAGCATGTTCCTATGATCTTGTAAATATTGCCTCTGAGTGATATGGAACACGGCAAGACACTTGAGCGGATGTTTGCTTTTACGTGTATATTTGCCGCATATATCCAACATCGGGAAGACTACTCCAGAAATGTTGGGTTATACAAACGAGCAAGAGATTAAGCCCCATTGGAAGGTATCTTGGAAGTCTATATAATTGTCCATCCGAAGCCATTTGGTAAACTATGTTTAGACTTGCCTAGTTACCTAATATATTAAGACATGATGGACTTTCATAATTGTAAAGTACATTTCACTTGGTCGTATTATTATTTTTACCAACTCTTATACTAATTCCTCTATTTTCATTTCTATACAGCTTCATGTGACTTAGCTATCACTTATGAAAGAGTTTTACATGCACGGTGTTCGTAGAAGAAGAGTTAAAGTATGCGTAACTCACTGATATCTGCCTAGCAGCAGGCTTCATTGACTATAATTTAATTCTCGACAAGTGTTAGACTGTGACAATATATGCGTCTTCGTTAAAGTTAGCGTTTATATGTCAGTGCAAGACAGAGCGTTAACCGCGGACATCAGTTACTTCAATTTGCTACCTCTGGTACTTGCATGTACCTAATGTACTCATCCGTCCTGCCGTCTAACCCTTGCCGAATCGGACCCACCTACGCAGCCCAGGCAGCCCAGGCAGCCCAGGCAGCTAAAACGCTAAGAAAACCTTGGAAAGTGGGCATCGATAAAAAAGAAAAAAGAAAACTGCAGGCAAGGCAGGTGCATGAAATGATTACATAAGGACCCATCCCTCTGTTACGGTTTACAGTTTACCTACCTCCACTACAGCTTTTGGAGCTCTACACTAGAAACGGGAAGCATCTAATTTGCCTTGTTTCTAGCGCATTTTCAACTAACAACCTAAGTCCCTTAAGTCCCAAACAGTTGACGCTTGCTTGGGTCGCGGCATACAGATGCTATCAAGTCGCTGATAAGAATTTCTTTTCTCGGTCATCTTTTCGGTATCCTGCATTTATTACTATTGGAAACTCCATCTTGACAAGCAACCAGGCTATCGCCGAGCTAGGGAGGGGTCAGTCTTTTTTATTTTATTTTTTACAGGTTCGCCTTTATTCTACCTACGCGTCTCATATACTGCCGAACTATACTGACGTGTCTCGGGAATACAGTCACGTCAAGCATCATGTCCGACACGAATCACGACGAGCGCGATGTCACCGGAGAGGACCCCATGGTCAACGAGGAGGGTAATGATGAAGTGCGCCTCCCCTTCCGATCTCAGTGTAGACAACTTCGTTGAAATGTTCAATACGAGAGGGGTATTTGTTAGATCTTATCGGCTAATGGGAAATGCTTGCGCATAGGAAGAGATTTCGGCAATGAAGAAACGCGTCGCCGAGATGGAGCAAGAGGCGGCTAAGCTTCGCGAGATGCATGCTGCACTAGAGGAGAGAGGACAAGAGGTCTCAGAGGACAGATCCGACGTTGATAGCCGAAGTATCTTCGTCGGAAATGTCGACTACTCTGTTTCTCCCGAGGAGATACAAGCTCATTTCCAGAGCTGCGGTTCCATTAATCGCGTCACTATCCTACTGGACAAGTTTACTGGCCAACCCAAGGGGTATGTAAGACCGATTTGTCTCTGCAAATCTCTTCTATCCCAGTTTGATTAAGCTCACATATTTCTTGTATAGTTACGCGTACGTCGAGTTTACTGAACCGAGCCTCGTCGCCCAAGCGTTGGTGCTGAATGATAGTGTCCTCAAGGGACGTAACATCAAAGTTACTCCCAAGCGAACCAATGTTCCGGGCCTCAGCCGTGGCCGTGGCGGCCGCGGTCGTGGCGGATTTGGCGGTTCAGGACGAGGCTATTACGGTGGAAGAGGTGGATTTGCGCCACGAGGAGGCTTCTACCGGGGTGGTTATCGGGGTCGAGCACGAGGCAGCGGTTTTAATCCTTACTGAAGATGACTGGGTTCGTTTTCTCAAGTCTTCCAGCCCCGGCCCCTGAGAGACTTTGAAGATCGCACAGGCGGAGAGGGGAAAAAAAAAGTTTATAATTGTTAACGCAAAGGAACATGGTTACCTAGGTACCTATAGCCTTGGGTTCTATAGGAATTGGCAGACGAATGTCGACTGGGTATGTGAGATGCATACAGGACTTTATTAGATCACCGACTTCGCAGGTATGGCGCAACGTTACCAGGTAGCGTACTTCACTATTCTTTTCTTCTGCCTCCATGTCCAAAATCAGGGAAGCGTTTCCAGGCGAGACTCAGCCGTAGAAAAAAAGGATGAGCACGTGGAGCTTTTGTTACCTTGACCTTGTTGCTTATTTGCCAGGCACGATTATTGCAACTCAAAGACGTCAAGAGAGGATAGTATTTATTCATAATACCTAGCCTAGGAGATTGGTGGTCGAGGGACGATATGCGATTTGCTTATGGATTTAGTGAATTCTGAATTCTTCGACAAGGAAAGAAACGCAATCTAAAAGATGGCTTTCCTGACATATGTATTTCAAAGCGGAGGAGCCTTATTAGGGTATGAGGCTTAAATAGATCCGCCCTACCCCCTGATAACCTATGTAATTGCTAGTTACGACAGATTAAAATGATGGTCGACATCAAAATGATAGTCGTCCATTTGCTATCATTTATACCTGTCTACCTAACTTATAAATGTGACTAAGCGATCTAAGTTGACCTTATCGTAGGTACATATAGTATTTCATATCTGTTATGGTCAGGTCATATGCAAGATGAAGAGACTCGAGTCGATCCTAGGTAAGTATTTTATGATTTATAATATTTCTCTAATCCGGTGCCTTCCGGAGAATAAATACCTACATACATACATAGTGTACCGAGCACAGACGAGACCGGGTAACGGCACGGCCCAGATCTATAAAACTAGGAGAGCCAATAAGTCCTGCTCTCCTGACCGTATTGCCGTATTATCCTGGGAGCTCCCGAGGCTTAGACGCTGGGGTATTTGGAGGCCGCCGAATGGGAGAAGCTTCTATTATCAGCTCATCCGCGTGTCGACATATGTAATCAAAGTTGAATGCATATGTAGGACTATATAAGGTGGGATTAAGTTTGAAGCTCCTGTGGAGGGATGATATCTCTTTGTTGTTGGTTTGCCTATTATGTATGTATGTATTAGATACAAGAAAAGGATAGTATATCTCGAGGTTGGTAATAAGCACGGCATTTTACATCGTTGCACAATAATCCCATTTTAATGAAACGCGAGGCACAACTTAGGACGACGAGAGTTGCGAATGCTAAGGTAGGGGGGGATGTAAAAAGGGACATCTAAAACCAATTGGATACGTGCACCACATACATAATGTATTACAGATCGATAGGTACTTAAGTACTACCTAAGTATATGTTACTCGAGTTACTGACGCTATGTTGATAGATACTTGTGTTGATTGGTGAATAGCACTCTAAAAAGATGTATTAAATATCTAAATGTACATGAATATTTGCGCGTAGGAGGTTCAATGTTGCATGCATTATCCTGTTTCCTAGCGCTTGCACAGCCTCAACTAATAGATATGGCCGCTATTGGACCGGATCGATTCAGCGCTATTGTGTATTGCATCTAGCCTTAGCGTCAGATGGGGGGTAGTAGTAGCCGTATATATACAGTATACATACGGCTCCCAGGTATGAGCCGCTCCCAAATGTTAGGGAAAAACGTGAAGCTCACGAAATTTATACGCATTAGTGCTAAGAGCCAATCAATATTTTTTGAGTAGTACAACTGGTGCGCCGCTCTTGCACTGTGAGCTACTCGACCAATGAGCGGCCGTTGCGCCGTTCGCATCTCTGCGCCGCTCCCGTTTTGAGCGGCTCCCACCAGGGAGCGGCACGTGCACCGCTCCGGGTAAGTGCATATATTCAAAAAAGTATATTCCCATACATTTTGTATGGGAATTTACTTATCCGCATTGCAATTGAAATTGGCTACGGATTAAAGGTTATAGGTTACAGGTTATAGGTTACAATAATGCTTTAAATTTAATTGATTTAATTGGAAGGTTACGTGTTTTTCAAATAAACTACGTTACGTATTACGGGCACGCGTAGAAATTTGTAATTATGGGGTATATACTGGTCTGTGCGGGTAAGGTTATGTAATAATACCCTGTACGTACCGCTTAAAATGGGAGCGGCGCAAAGATGCGAGCGGCGCAACGACCGCTCATTGGCTAGAGCCGTGCTAATACGGCTCATTTTAGCCTAGCGTTTTAAATATTTAGCGCGTTTAAACCGTAAGCGGTAATATTACCACTTAAATATTTGAGTCATTTAATTCTTTAAACGTAAGAATCGGGAGCCGCTTTTTGCATTAAGTGGGATAAGTGCGGCTATGATTTAATAAGCGGTATATATGCGGCTACTGCTACCCCCCCTATGACGGTAAGGAGGTGGTGTTAGCGGTGTTAGGTATGTTAGGTACATAATACCACCTAGTTAGGTACGATTGTAGTAGTCATAATTGATCACTACGCCACTGGCGGCCACTGCGGCCACCGCGAAGGAACCTATCACTGCTACCCACTACGACCTGCCTTAACCTCATAACTTTCCACTTGCTTAGTGGCTATCACCATCAAGACTCCACGAGGCTCACACTTCCGCTACCTTATTCACTTAGAAACTCAGACGAGGCACAGGGACGGCCAAAGCCGAAAACCAAACAATTTATCGAATTAAATCTCATCTGTATTATTCAATACACGTCCACCGCCCACCGTTGACCGAATACGGACGGAACCCCTCCTTTGGAACGGGGACGCCCAGGTGGGATCCGGGATCCAAGAGGTCATGAGAGAGTGAGACGTTTTGACTTCAATCCAAACCGTGAAGCAGCTATTAGTATGACCGCAACTCGTACTGAGCCAGGGCCTTCGGCGTGAGTTTAAAATAATCATGAACCTCTATATGATCATATTATACAAGGTTATGGTCATAGTTTGACAAGTCGATCCGCTAACTTCGAGTTTTGTTCCTACAGCCAACCGAATCTGCGAGTCACGAGTGCGTCTTCTACCAACTCCATCACCATGCTTGGCGGCCCATAGATACTTACCTATCTCTTCTAGTCATCGCTGCCGACGGCCTGTACAAGCGAGATGTATTCCGTATGTTGATCACTTGTCGCAATCCATATGGTCCAAGCTGTTAACACATCCCTTGAAATCCAGGTCTACCCGATCCTTTTGCCGTGGCTACCATCAACGGCGAGCAGACCAAGACCACGACCGTCTCCAAGCGTACCCTCAATCCTTATTGGAACGAGAGTTTCGACTTGTACGCACCTACCTCCTATAAACAAAAACTATCCGTAAACTTACCAAATCTGTAGCCGAGCAACCGAGGATAGTATTTTAGCAGTGCAGGTCTTTGACCAGAAAAAGTTCAAGAAGAAGGACCAAGGTTTCTTAGGGGTTATTAATATCAGGATCGGAGATGTCATCGAGCTAGCAGACGGTGCTGATGGTATGCATAGGCATATTTATGTCTTAAAAAGCCACAAAGTCCACATGCCCAGGCTAACATTGTTTATCAGACCAGATGCTTACACGGGACTTGAAAAAGTCTACGGATAACCTCGTCGTTCACGGAAAATTGATAATCAACCTGTCTACAAATCTAACCACCCCTGCCCGCCCTACCCAGCAACCTTCATCAGCAAGCTCTAGTCGACCTTCCTTAGCCCCTCAGGCCTCTACTGTTACTGCCAATAGTGCGTCTGAACGACCGACTTCTTCAGCATCAGGTCCAAACGGACTTGCGCCAGGTGCACAAATGGCCTTGCCGTTGAGGCCTAATGGCGCAAATCCGCCCGCGGTTAACGGCAACGGTGCACAGGCTCGACCTGGAGCCCAGATGAGCCCCTTTGAAGATGCTCAAGGCCGCCTACCCGCTGGCTGGGAGCGGCGTGAGGATAATCTGGGGAGAACTTACTACGTAGATCATAATACGCGAACCACGAGCTGGAACCGTCCAACCCAATCCGGTACTTCCGCAGAGAATCGCGGCGAAAGAGAGGCGGCTACTCAGGTTGAACGTCAGAGGCATCAGAACAGAACCCTACCGGAAGATCGTACCGGTGCCAACTCCCCAACTCTTCAGCAGCAGCAACAACAACAGCAGCAGCAGCCTGCTTCCAGTAGCGGTTCTACGCATAGCCCCGGTCAAAGCACTTTGATGCATACCGGTGCTACTAGCCCTGGTACTGGCGAGCTTCCGCCTGGCTGGGAACAACGTTGGACGCCCGAAGGCCGGCCTTACTTTGTTGACCATAATACTAGGACTACCACATGGGTGGATCCCCGCCGCCAGCAATATATTAGGATGTATGGTGGCCAGAATAATTCTAACGGAACGATACAGCAACAGCCCGTCTCACAACTCGGACCACTGCCAAGCGGGTGGGAAATGCGATTAACTAACACGGCCCGCGTTTACTTTGTGGATCATAATACTAAGACTACCACTTGGGACGACCCCCGGCTACCATCCTCCTTAGACCAGAATGTACCACAGTATAAGCGAGACTTCCGAAGAAAGTTGATTTACTTCCGTTCGCAGCCCGCTATGCGGATACTTTCAGGGCAATGTCACATGAAAGTACGACGATCTCACATTTTCGAGGATTCATTCGCGGAAATCTCACGACAGTCGGCAACTGATCTCAAGAAGCGCTTGATGATTAAGTTTGACGGCGAGGATGGGCTAGATTACGGTGGTCTTTCCAGAGAATTCTTTTTCTTATTATCGCATGAAATGTTTAACCCCTTCTACTGCCTTTTCGAGTATTCCGCCCACGATAATTACACCCTCCAGATTAACCCTCACTCCGGTATCAACCCCGAACATTTGAACTACTTTAAGTTCATTGGTCGCGTGGTTGGTCTGGCCATTTTCCACCGACGATTCCTCGACGCATTTTTTATTGGTGCCCTTTACAAGATGATGTTAGGCAAGTCGGTGGTTCTTGCCGACATGGAGGGTGTGGACGCGGATTTCCACCGGAGTTTGCAGTGGATGCTTGACAACGACATTTCTGGCGGTATACTCGAGCAAACATTCTCTACCGAGGACGAGCGCTTTGGCGTTGTGACAGTGGAGGATCTCATCCCTAACGGCCGGAATATCGACGTTACTAATGATAACAAGAAAGAATACGTGGATCTTATGGTCAAATGGCGCATTGAGAAGCGTATTTCAGAGCAATTCCAAGCCTTCAAGGAAGGGTTCCACGAGCTTATTCCCCAAGACCTAATCAACGTCTTTGATGAGCGCGAGTTAGAGTTACTAATCGGCGGTATTGCCGATATCGATGTGGACGACTGGAAGAAGCACACCGATTACCGCGGTTACACGGAGAGCGACGAAGTCATCCAGTTTTTCTGGCAAACAGTACGGAGCTGGGATGGAGAGCAAAAGAGCAGACTGCTACAGTTCACGACGGGTACTTCTCGAATCCCCGTCAACGGTTTCAAGGATCTCCAAGGTAGCGATGGTCCGAGGAGGTTCACTATCGAGAAAGCAGGCGAAGTTGGTAACTTGCCGAAGGCACATACTTGGTACGTACTTGGCCGATACGGTTTATGTAGACAAAACGCTAACGATAATACAGCTTTAACCGCCTAGACCTGCCCCCATATAAGTCGTTGGAAGCGTTACAGAACAAGTTAACTACGGCGGTGGAGGAGACCATGGGCTTCGGACAGGAGTAAAAGGCTGTTGTAATGTTTCTTACTGCTGCTACTGCTGTATATAGAACGATTAATGGTGTTTCCTCACTACGACAGAGTCTGAATTACGGACGGATTTTTGCATCTCATTTATGTGTCTTGGTTCAAATCCCCTTCGTCTTGCCATTCTAACCCAGCTGTGGTTGTCAAGGGAGAGAGAGAGAGATGAAGTTTAATAGCACGTATTGTCTTTTTACTTGCTCGCCGAGGGTGTGTGTACACGTTCCCGCTGTCCGGGGGATGAAATTAAATAGGGAACTCGGAGCAGGTTTAACATTCGTTTTTTTGAACTTCACATATCACATTACATTACATCACATCACATCGTACGGGTGTGGATGAGGATATGTTATCGCAAAATGCAGTAATAATCGAATCGAATCGTGTCGTAAGGGTAATGGACTAGTTGGGCAGATGTAATGAGATATCTGCTGGTTTCATTATTTTCGTTTTAGAGGTATCTAATTGTCGCGAGTACTGTGTAAGGAGGGCATGCACACGTAGATAACCAGGGACCTCGGATTTGATAAGAAGGCTTCGTACATTATGTCCTGTTTAACTATATATAGAATTCTCTATACTACCGTATCAATAAAAAGACTAAGTGCCCAACTAAGCTAATCAGTCGAAAAGGGGGCGTCAACTCCGCGTATCGAAATCGAAATCACCGACTTTCATACAGACAAACGTTCTTCTCCCCTTTCACCTCGCCTCGTCCGGCTACCCGTTTCCCCCGTCCGTAAATAACTTAGCTATCTACGTACATACCTAGGTACACACATACATACATAACGATAGCAGCTAGCAGCTGCATTCTATATACCTAATATTCCATACACAAGCGCAGCGGAGAAGGGCTGCCGGCGTATTATCCCGCCCAATCAAGCGTCCTGAAGGATTTCTATTATTGTTATTGTTATTATTACCAATGACTGACGAGTACACTACCTACATAGCACAGATCGATCGGTTCGATCTGGGAGTTCGAACGGCATATTTAGGTATTGTAAGATGTACTTGTAGGTACCTACCTAAGGTATATATATACATACATACAGGGGCATACAGCGTGTGTAGGTAGGCTGGCAGGCTGGCAGGTTGGCAGGTTTGATGGAAACCGGCGAGTTCTCCTTGGGAGCTTACTCGTCGAGTTTTAGTCCAATCAGTTATTTTTCTCCGCTTACGGTTTTATCGATGGATGGATGGATCACGGAATTGGACGTCTATTGTAAGTATTCGAGTAGAAGGTATATACGTATAAATTTAAGCATCGCTCAAGCGTTGGAGGCTAGTCTATTCAAATCTACAATTTGATAAGTCGTCTATAGAAGGCAGTGTAGGCAGTATGAGTATAGGGATCTTAATAGACACTTCAACGTGTTGGATTACTACTCTCATCACGAGGAACCAAGGGTGAAATCACCATTTGTAAAGCAGATCTATGTTTGATTGCGCAAGCTCTCAATATTCGATGGTGTCTTTATACAGTTTCGATATTATAGATACAGGAACCGCTGTCTATCAGCCTGTCTCGCAACCCTTCATAAAAAAACAATTGTTGCTAACTAGCTTGCGCGCTGTGGAGGATAGGTGTATCAAAACCGTCAGTGCCTCCTCACACTGAGTGTCCTCTAACCTCTACTAATTTCAAATTGACCTATCAACCCGACGCCGCCGTGCTTCCGTGTTAACGCTGCTCGAATCAACTTCGTAACCTAATAGACATGTTCCGCGTGAACCTCCAGAAGACTGGCTCCTCGGCACAGATCTTAAATTGAAAAAAAATCGAAATGCAATCGTAATAAAAGGTGTATAGTAAGAGTGATCATAAACGAATTCGGTATAGTCCAACGTTAAAAAGAAAGTCGTTCAGCACGTCTTCTTGACCGCCAACCGACTAGTCCGCGCAAAGAGTACATGAAGCAATCCGGATTAGGAACTTCATACCCTATCTTCGACCCCGTCTCTGATGTTCATTCCCATTCCCCTTGATAGGGCTGACAAAGGTGACGTGTTTACTGTCATCCTTACGTAGGCGTACCGTCGTCCCAGACCCTGCGCCGGTAGAGCCACGGTGGTGCCGAATAGAACGTGCACCGCTGTGGTCATCTTCGATGTCAATTTCGTCGACATCCGATATGGACTGTGCCCCGATGCTATCATTCAGATCTGATTCCATCTCGGAGTCGGCTTCCGAGTCATCATACTCCCCATCATCACTGACAAGAGACGGTGCGTTATTGCTGACGGCAGTATGAGGGCTCAAATCCACGTCTAACATGTCGTCATCTACAATCATCTCTGGCTCGGGAGCTGATATGACTCGGGGAGCTGGGGTTGGCACAGGAGTGGCATAGGGAATATGCGGAGGGTGGCCTTTGCTACTAGGTGGTCGAGCTGTAGCGGTAGCGGGTGACATCGTGGCCCTCACTGGGACCCGTACAAGGGATGGGGCCTGGTGTGTAGCTGCATTTTCAGCGCCATTACCGCCCGCGTCAGCCTCGTCCAACTCATCATCGGGTGAAAAGTACTGGTCGAGGTCGATCTTAGCCTTAGCCTCACTGACCAGCTCGCTCAGATTGCCATTAAATCCTCTGCTTTGAAGCAGGCGAGAGAGATGTGGAGAATCAGCTGAAGGTAGGAAATTTGGCTGCTGTTTAGCTACCGCTGGTGCGCTCTGAGAACTCTTGGAGGCACCAGGAATCGACGAAACGCCATGTAGTTGGCCCCGGCTGTACATTTCTAACGATTCCTGGATACGACGCACAACAGAGAAACAGGCCTCAGACTCGGACATAGCATTCTCCCGCACAAATGGATGGACAAGACCGGACGAAGGTGTACTCTGGACGACTGGTTTCTCTTCTCCTACAGTACCACTAGGCTCAGTAACATCGATAGGGTGGCCGCAGTGCACCGCAGCTTCCTCGTGGCTCTTGAAGTCCCTCTTGTGCGCTATTCGACAGTGGTTAATAAACCCCTGCGTGCTTGAAAAGTTCTCGCGATGGCAATCAATGCAGACAAGTTTTACGGTCTTCCCATCAGATCGCTTCAGGACGCAAGGTCCGTTCTTATCCTTGGGAGGTGGATAGCCATTTGACAGAGCTTGGAGCTTCTGACCTGCCGTACCCCTTACTGGCCGACCTCTCCCATGGGACGCACCTAACTCAGCATAACTATTTCTCGTCGATCTACCGTCTATCGAATTCCTGAATCTTGAATTCTCGGCTTGCACATGGGCCTCGGGCTGGATGCCGTCGAACTTAGGATCGGGTATGAGCCACTTGGCATAGTGTCGCGCGTACGGACCCTCGGTGACGCCGAAGGGAGGTGCCCACTGAGGCAGCTTCTCGCCCAACTTCGGCTGCAAGGCTGCACCTGACCCATTCATTATATTCACCATATGTTCCGGCGTGGGAACGTTCTGTGGATACGGAATTAGATGGCACCTTCGGAGCTGTTCCAAAGCCACCTGGCATTTGGCAAGTTCTTGATTAATCAAGCGTAACTCGTCGTGCTTGAGTAATATCTCAAGACTAAACTGTTGTTCGATAGCATCTCTAGCGCGATTCATGTCGGGCCTATTCAATACGGGCTGCGATGCATGCCCTCTCCCCTCCTCTACCGACGACAAAGCCACCTTCTTGTGCGCCCTGAGGCAATCATAGTCATCATCATCAGTCCTCGTCCGCTTGAGCGCGGGTGAAGAAGCAGGGAGTTGCGACGCTATCGCGACGTTGCTCTGCTTGCGCCGCCTCGGGGTTGTAGGGATGTTTGTGGCGGCCGCAGTAGTAAGCGGCGACTCTGATGACACCCAAGGCTGCAGCGGTTTGCTGAAATCAAGCATAGGCTGTTCAACTTGTAAAGTTTTGTCGCTTCCCCTCGAATCTGAACTCCAAAATCGGAACATGAGCATACCCGACAGGGAAGAGTGAAGTTTGGTGTTTTTGCGCTCAAAGAGCGTTGTTGCGTAGTTGATTGTTGTACGTGGTCGGGGCGCGGATAGAGCAGACCCGGGCTGATATGCAATAATAAAGTTGTAAAAGGGGGTGGAAGGGGGGGGACCTATCGCCAGAGGTGCGACACCAAATGGGAAGGCAAGGCTGACGTAACGACGAATGGTTGCAGGGGGTGGGTACCTAGTTCCTCCCTAGCTCGGCAGGTGGAAAGTGTGCAAATCGGGGGTCGGCTCAGCCGGCGGATGCGACCACCTCTTTTAGCCTGACGATGCACGCTATTGAACGGTCCTAGTCCTAGGCTAAGCAGCAAGCTAAGCAGTAAAGCAGGCAATCACTAATACCCAAGGCAGAGGAACAAGAACCAAGGAAGTCGCACGTATCAAATAGTAGGAGATATGTGCTCCTGATGGGTCGACGATGCGCAAAAAAGGAGTAGGGTTATCGCTGATGTGGCCACGGTCAAACCCAACGAAACTCAGTCTGAGTCAGGTTCGTAATAGACGAGGAATGCGCGACGACAGGCCCAGTAACAGAACAAGGCAACGCAACGCAAGGCAAATGGTTCGTAAAACGTTTGCGCGTAATTAATAGTATGTAAAGGTCGACTTTAATAAAAGACTTTGCGACCAGGCGATAATAAAAATGTCCTTGGGGAAAAAAAGAACAAGATGCGAAAAAAGGACAATGAGCGCAGTAAAACAGTATCAAATGGAGATACTGTGGGACGGTGCGTTGGTATTAGAATGCGCGTATGATGATCATCAAGGTGCGATTTATGCGACCGAGACAACAAAAAAATAATAGAATAAGGGCGAAGGGAATGAAGTAAAGTAAAGTAGCGCGACCGACGGGGGAAGTATTAAAATTCAGCAAAGGAACGCGTGAATAGAACAAAAATAAAAAGGCGGAAGAAAGCCGATTATCATTTGCTGCGAGTATCTTTTTTCGGATGTTGCGACAGGCGGATTTTCGCAGGAAAGGCAGGAAAAAATGAAAGGTTGTAAAATGTTGTAAGATTGTAAGGTTTCTAGAGGGTGCGAGACGCAAAGATGCAGAGATGCAGAGATGCAGAGATGCAGAGATGCGAAAATGCGTAAATGCGAAGGTGCAAGGAAGTCCTGATTCCCTCGAGTTTGGGGTTTGGGGGGGCGTCGTAGGTTACCTAACGCGTATCTTGCTGTAGCTTGCAACTGTTCAATGCTGCTGGGCTGCTGGGTTTCTGGGTTTCTGTGAGGGTGCTATGAAGGTGAGGTGTGATAGTTCCCAGTTGGGTTGGGTTGGGTGGGTGGCTACCTGCCTAGAGCTAGGGAGGTTAAGTGGTGGTAAGTTAGGTATGTACATACACGTTGTAAATTCACTTTGATTTTTGATTTGATTGCCCGACAGTCCGACGGATGGATTTGGGATTCTGGGATTCTGGGCTGCTTTTGACAAGGGGGTCAAATCAAATTCGAGTTGTTCTGAATCGACAGGGATTATTCCATCTGCGTTTCCAAGAAAAACGTACGTATCTCGAGGCGGTCTGTGCTGCAAGGTAAAGGGGTGTTTGCATAATATTTACAGTATTATGCCCGCATTACGCAAGTTACGTAAATGTACCTTAGGTACCTAGGTACATGTAAGTATTTGATATTCTCATTATCTCCGATTGAATATATGTACGGATTACTTTATAAATATTTCCCTTTTTATGACTCACTTTTAAGGATGATAGAGGGGCTACAGTGGCAAAGTCTCATACCCGGTATATTCCTACCTATAAGTAGGAAAGAAATAGGCAGATATGGGATGCTTCTTTTGAAGGGAACAAGACAATCAAGTTCCTGTGAATGTACATAGAAGGGAAACGTGACTAGATGAAATTGATTTGATTCATAAAAGGCTGTTACATGGCCGCTTTTAGCTAGTACGCAGGGCTGGCAGGTACTTTTGCATAAGCATTGCATTAGGAACGCTAAATATTGTACAAGCGCACTAAGATATTGCATGATGCTTGTATTCCATACCGTACGTGTGTACAAAAATCGCCCGGCTACTATGCTTGATTCAGATTAGCGATTTCCCCCACTGCAGGTCTTAATCCTCCGGATAGCCCAAAAAATCACTCACGACAGTATTACTTTTATATAGCCAGTTTACCATTCAGAAATCTCAACAAGCCCGGTCCCATAGCTCAGTTGGTTAGAGCGTCGTACTAATACAACTACTATACAGTTGTATCTAGTCCATGCGAAGGCCGGCGGTTCGAGCCCGCCTGGGACCATACCTTTTTGCCTTTTTTTTAACTTCTGGAATGCCCTGATGAATTTCCAATTTTGTACGAAGTATATAAACCTCAATAGAAAGAAACAAACCACTATCATGTCTAAATATTTCACGTGATTATACTATTTGTTGTAAGTCTAATAAAATGAGATCATTTAAACTGACGCTTCCCCCCCTTTTTACTGTCGGTCTTTTTTTTTCAGTTATAACATTACTTTTACAACCATCCATCCTATTTTAGGTAGTTCTAGTATCATATATTGTAGAAGAATACTCTAACATTAAGGAAGGGCTGCTTTTTTTCAAGTTCTTCTGGTTATCAGCTAAGCCGTACTATGGATCTTTGACTCGCTTTTGAGCCTCGGGGGGGGGAGGGCTTTAGTGCTCTCGTGAACCCCAACTTGCTAATGATTTGACTATTACAAATATTCTAAGCCCAACTTATGGGTAGCTGACCGATCAACTGTCTCGATTACTTTAACTTTAATGATAAATATAGTGATAGGCTCAGTGCGTACAGTAGGTTCGTGATAAACCTATCTATTAGTACCTAACCTAAAGTAATCTCTTAGCATGAAGTTGAAACGTCAGAATGCATCGAAACCCTTTTCATCCGAGCTGCGGCGAGTTTCTAAACCTAGTGAGTTACTAACAGTCCTAGTGATAATACTTTAACGTGAATCAGATGATGTGCCAGTCGTTGTGCTACAGTGTTTGTACAGGTCAGAAGTAATCCAGAAACCCGGCGTCTTGATACCAACTTATTTCGCATCTATCCTTCGACATATTGATAACGACCAGTGAATAACCACTTGTTTTTCATAGTGTCTTCGCCTAAGGCCACCGGGAATAGAAAATGATGAGAATGTTAAGCAAGGACCCTTACCGGAATCATATAATTACAATAGATTGCAGGTTGAGACGAATAAATAATTATATATATATATATATATATATATATATATATGAATATACCTATCCTAATGATTTAACTAGGCCTGAACCAACCAAGGATGAAATATCAGCCGTGATAAAAGAAGGATATTAATACGTAAACATAGCTTGAAAGCGAATCCGTGTCAAATCTAAAAGTGCAATCATTGAAATATAGCTAATAGTCCAGACACTCAGATTAGTCAGGTAACTTTGCCAAACAGAAGAAGCTGCTCACAATCACGATACTTCGGGACATGTTAAACATGTTAGTGTAGCCTGGCTAAGCATATGTCAACAAGGAATCTTGAATCAAACGCAATATAAAATAGGGCGGGATGGTGCCGTTAGATTTGAAGAGTTCTCCCTGTTAAAATCCTGGCTGATACAACTTTCCATTCGAAAAAGACTCGATAACAATATCCACTCTCCCCATTACCCCCCTATAAGGTTATTAGTGTTCGACTTGAAAGAATCCTGTAAATATATAATGTAATCTATTAAGTAAAGTTATTGTCAGAATATAATAAGGCTACACCGTAAAGTAACCGCCAGATATCAGGTCTATACAAGGAGTGTATCCCCCCCCCTTATTCTTAAATAAGACAGGAGTCAATACAGTCACCAATTATACTACAAGTTAGGCCCCCGATTCTCACTCCGTAGCACACCATCCCCGAGGGTTATGTTTAAACCTAGCATACTCGACATAGAATCACACTAGTACTATACCTGTCTGTGTGCTTGTTGTAGCTTCTCATACCTACAATGCCATTGTGAACCAGAAGGTGATCGGCATGCCGATGACACAGCTGCTCATGGTCTCTTACATGATCTAGCTGTATGGCTTGGAACTGATCTTGCAATTCTAGATGAAGAGTGACAAATAGGAGCGAACCTATTGGTGTTTCAAGGTATCTCTAATACTAAATAGAGTAACTGGTAAAAATATCGAGTATAATAAGACGAGCCCGAGACAGGATCGAGGAGTACTAACTATTACTAGCAAGATAGATGTGCAAGAATAACGTTTACTCTTTAAAAGTGTAGGGATCAGGGGAAAATAAAAGCGCAAAAACTTTTTATTTTCTCAAAAATAAAAATAAAGACTCAAGTAGTAGGAAATAACATGAAGTATGGTGAGATAAGTAAACAGCTATATATAGATGGGTGAAGAGGGACAAAAAAGGTAACTTGATACCTAAGAGTAGGCCAAAGTAGCAAAAGTAATGGTCCCAGGCGGGCTCGAACCGCCGGCCTTCGCATGGACTAGATACAACCAATGGTAATACTGGTGATATTAGTACGACGCTCTAACCAACTGAGCTATGGGACCGTCCTGTGATTGGTGAGAGTCGCAGACCTAAGTGCGTATATGATCCTGTTTGCTTTTGCTAGAATCGGAGCGAAAAGTCTTCTGCTTTCAGCCTATCAACGCCAACATGCACTAATCCGCTTTAGCGGCTTTAAATGCCGCACACTATCTTGAGCACTTAAGTATTTGAGGTAATAAGAAACGTAACGAGTATGAATAGATATTTCGACTCGATAAAGCAAGAATCATAGTCGTAAAAAAGAGCCGTGTTTTAGGCAGACGTACCTAAGGTACCTAGGTAAATTGCATAAGAAAGACCTGGATTTAGGCTAAAAGCGGCGTGGTTCACGCAAAGTAAGCAAATAAATATGTATTAATAGATACCTATACATGACTACTTGTACATGCGGTTAGTTCGCTGAAACATGGCAGGCTATACCATTGGTTAGTGACCGGAGGTTTTAGTAGTACCTACGCATTACTGTAACATGAAATACATCATATTGTTGAGATTGAGACATCTCTGTATATTATGTAGCTAGGCTTGTAACTCTCTGTCCATACGATACCTTCATGCATAGTACGTAGCTTCGTTCATTCTTGGCAATGACTGGGCTGCATGATGTGATAGGGCCATTTATTCATAATCAACCAATTGTATATTGGCCTCGTCTCAAAGATGTCTGAGTTGCGAAGCTCATGGTGTCGGCCAAGAAAGATTCCCTTGTTCTCGTTTGACAACTTGATGCTATGGCACCTAGGTACATAATATATCGATAAGCGGGAAGATCAAAGGTCAGTTCAACTATTTCCAATGACGTGATTGGTATAGTTCTTATACAGTCAAAAACAAAGGATCTTGTCTAAAAGTATAATTATCCATCACACAAGCCTCATATTCCCATATAAAATTTATGTGGAGCTAAAGTAAGCACTTTATTCGTAGTGAAGTAACAATGGCTGTAACTGTTGATAATCTTGCATTATCGATAAGAACCATACCCTAAAGCTAGGTACCTACGGAAGATTTAATCCAAGTCCTTGCTCAACTTCTAGCCATACACACAACCCTCGATGACGACCATTTACCCTTCGGCGGCGGCATCATGAACGCCCTAAGAGATCCCCAAAAGGGCAATCGAACCAGCGACTCGCTAACGAAGAGGAAGCGCGCCGATACTGATCCGATTGCACCAAACAAGAAACCCAAGCTTGAGGCCAGCCTTAACCTATCGTCGACCGAGGATATTAGAATGCTCCAAGCTCTCGAATCTAAATATGATATCCATGTCCACTCGGTAATCTCATCTTCTAAGATCCAAAAGAAAGTCGTTTCCATTCTTCAACACCTCACTCGCCCCGCTACTAGTAAGACGAGTGTGACTGTTTTGCGCGCCAAAGCTCCCGACACGGGCAAGTTGGTCTCGATAGCCGAAATCGCGAAGCGCGAGTTAGAAAAGCGAGCGGACAATGCGCGCATCTGGTTTCAATACATCGCGCTAGGCGAGGAGCTCAAGGAAATACCCAGAGGCGATGGTAATACTATTATTGAGGAAACGAAGCTAGGCGACACTGGTGATAATGACTTTGAGACCATGAAGACTCCTTTTGAAAGAGCTATCGAAGGCCAACCACGTTGGAGAGGAATACCTGTCATGAGCCTGTTCCTTTCTCCAGTTCCCATTGAGGAACTCAAGAGGCGATACGGGGAACAAACGAATGCCGGCCCCAAGTAGAGAACCCGCCGAACCATTATTATCCGTGTAAGGAGAGAGAGACGGTAGAGGCAACCCTAATATTAAGATACCCAAGCAAGATCACAAATACGAAAAGACCTAGCAGATGTCACTCTATTTTGGAGAGGCTTTCATGCTACGAAGCACTAACATTCTCATATCGTATGCTACAAAGCATATGGATAAATTTCAAACTCGTAATGATGACCAAAACAAACTCCACCAGAAATGCGTTCCCGATAGGAAATATACCATGCTAAGATACCGTCTGATATACAAACTTCCCACTCGCACCGGCCATTGCCCACTGTTGAAAGACTAGCAGAGGATATTGCAAGACTACCGACTTTGGGTATACCGTTCAAGGGTTCATTCTTGAACAAGTTCCCACGAGCCTGATTCACAACCTTGCAATCTGTATCCTCCGATTTTCCGTCTGAAATTAATGCTTTTTCCCACCCTCTGCGCCGGAGTATGATATCCGCAATACGAAGTTGACGACGACAGCTAGTAGGAGGATGATAGCCAGTACGGACGGCCCGAAGCGGTCATCGAAACCAGCCTGCCCCCTTACTCTTATCGACTTGGCTCGCCAATGATATGTAAATAACGCATATATCATGGTGAGCATGGCTACACCCGTAAATAGGAAGGCCGAGATGAATGCGGGACGGTCACCGAAGTTTAACATGCCAATGGCCAAGGCACCCAATATGACGGTGAAGTTCAGCCATGATAGAAAAGTACGCTCGTTGGCGAAGAAGACCTTGGGCTCGACTCGGGTAGGTAGGGCAATCCGTTTGCCTAAATTGGTTGGTTGAAACATGTTAGCTCCCGGCATCAATGGCTCAATAGGTGTAATTCCCGAAGAAAGCGCGTTTACCTGGAGCCGTTTGCAGAAGAGGCTGGCTAGACATGTCGGGCGATTGATGATTGGTGATTGGTGATAGATGGACAGTTTTGGAAGTATGGTCCGTGGAATTAAGCTTAAGTAGCTGGCTAGGTAAAGATAGGTTCCCGTTGGCGAACAATTGAGTTTGTTACTTAAGTTTGTAACTGTAACTAACTGTAACTGTAACCAGGGAAGTTCTGAACCGTCGCGGTCGAGTTTTTGGAAAAAAGCAAAACGCCTATGAAATAAGCTGTGGGCGACGGGGATGAAAATGAATTGACTCTGCAGAAATACGGAAAGACGAAAAATTAAAACAAGAAGATAAAAAAAGACTAGCTATGACGATGATAATCGAATAATCTGATGTTGAAAGCTCTTGATAGCAGTAGCGAAAAAGTATCTAAACATCTAAACACGGTTAGTTGATATCATTAGCTCACCCACGTGTGCCGTTTCGCGAATCTCAGTGGTTAATCTGAAGGGAATAGCAAGGAGTAGCAGGGATTCATAAAAGCTGCCGTCGTGAGAGGAGGAAAGAAGAATAATGCACGTGCCTAGTTGCCCCGCGCAGGAACATCCTTACATAATTTACCGGTTCGTGTAACTATCCATGTATTACATGTACACATATGCATAATCTAGGAAACTGCAGGTGCATTCATAGATGTGCTAGGTATGTGCAGGGATCTCATAGCGGCCCCATCCCCTTCTGAAAATAAGCCTTGCATCAATTTATTGTTTACAACGTCAGAGGGAGAAGGCTGAACAAGACCAAGCACAAGGCTACCATAGTCAACCTTTAACCCGAGTGAACTACCAATTGCCTCCAGATACCGCCACTACGATTTCTATAAGACAATTCTACGAATCTACCACAACTTATTCGCTGTAGAAGATCTTCGCTTGTAACTCCTCCATTACCTCTACAGCTCGACGTTGCCACCATCCAAAATGGCTTCACCGCAGAACAATGCCGTATGTCACAATGACCGCTAACCCTCGTCACTTTCGAAGATACTTACAAGAGTTGTCTATAGCCAATTAGCACCACGAGACTAAAGCAGATCGCGATGGACGTAGGTTCGCCTCGCACCCTTCCTCGAGAGAACAGAATAGAGAGCTCACCAAGCTAATATCGGTTAAACACAGGCTTGCCAAAGCGCCATCGGTAGTGCCGAGTTCTACGAGCATTCGAAAGTCGAAGGTTGGAACGCCACCATCATCGTACGTCTCCCCCTCGATCTCCTATACCTACCTAACCTACTCTACAAAGAAACTTCGTCTGTTAACATGACACACACCCCCGCCAGAACTCGATCCTCCGAGCTGTCATATCCGAATCGACCCCCTCCGGCTCCCAGACCCCAGCCCACAAATACGTGGTCAACAGCACCATCGTGCAACACCTGGTGCCGACCTCGGCGCTTAACAAGCCCAAAGGCGGCAGCGAGGTCAAGGCCGAAAGCCCGCGCATCAGCACCAGCGACGGCGGCAACGCGACGGCCACGGACGGGAAGCCCCACGTCGGTCGGCGGGGCATGCACTCGGCCACGCAGGCGTTCTGGAACGAGAAGACGGACGGGATGTGGAGCTTCAAGTACGACGGCGGCGAGGGCAAGGGCTTGGATGTTGTTATTAGCGTCATCTGGGTCGGGATATGAGGGTGTGTAAAGTCTGGCTTGGTAAATGGCGTGGGGGGGCTGGGGCTGGCTGTAAAAACATGTTGTTATATCTACGCGGAAGACAAATTGATACCTTTACAACCCCTATTGTTCTTATGGGACTTGACGTTAACGTTGAAATGTTCCGTTTGCTTGACGGTAGCGTGTAGCCGTATGAGGAACTCGGGCAGCCTGCAATGTCTATTCGGAAATGGGTATAATTGATACTACAGTATGTGGAATCAGTTGCCCTAGGGACTTCCGCAGCCTTGACTTGTATTTGTAGTGAGGTATAGTTTTATCAATGTTATCCATGTTTGTATAGAGAGGATAGATGGTATATACTAGTAACCTCCGCCCGTTTTATGTGTTAGAATAAGCATATCAGTCGAATGTGGTCAGTATTATTACGTGATTTAGGCTCGTTTATCCTCATACCAAGGGGCTTCTAAGTGACATGTAAAAAGTATAACTATAAATGGATGTAGTCTCATTAATGTAAACCTTACTCATGATAGAAGGATATTTCCTTGTCCTGGAAACACTATATTAATATACACTTTACATAAGTAGGATAAGTACCTAAAATTAGTAGTCGTAGATTCGAACTAACTTACCTTGACAACCTACCTTTGGAGATGCTGTGATTGAACGTTATTATAAAAGCCATTGCTATTTAATTCATAGCCTTTATAGTAGAATAAATGCACTATATTGATTAGGCGTATGGATGTCTAACCTTACGTGACCTCCTTGTTAGTGAGATATTAACCCTAAACTATGATTTTTCGGAATGTCACATTTGAAGGGTAAGATAAAAGCTATGCTTCTCGAGATACTTATATATTATAACCCGGGTATCTTGGTAGATTAAACATCAACTTTAGGTAGCCAGTATATGATTCTCGTCATATTTATTCTCTATAGAGTACCTATGTAATTGGGACATACTAGTATACGTCCTCCTACTTAGCCTTAAGGTCATATATTACTAACCTAGCGTACTATATCACGCAAACCCGCGATTAAGCTACATATCTACCTATCAAATTGTGCCTAGTGATATGCTACACTTAGGTGAAGGCATAAACTACCGGCGTGATCTGAGTCCATTGAGACGTAGACTTGACAAGCATACTAGGATAGTTGACTTCTATTTAAACATTTGGGAAACTTAAGAACCAATCAACGCGAATATAGCGTTACCATCGATGCCGCTCTGAGTCTACATATTGAAGTAATATGATGCTAAGACTTGTGTACATCTATCGAAGGTAGTCTAAGACAATCTCGAAGAATCTATGTCTAGGTATCACCTTATCGGAGTGTTACGCGATCAACATCCAGCCAGCCCTAAATGGTGTTGTACTGCATGGAAGGATAACGGCTAGCCGAGCTGTCACTTCGATCTAGACTCCTTTCAGGTTCCCTGCGTCAGCAAACGGGGAAAACAGACCATTGGATCCATGTACCTACCTATGTATATCTTCGTAGATCGGAGCTCAGCGAAGAGTTACCACGTAACGCAAACCGCAGCAGCGGAAGCACGCCATCGTCTTCTCTATTCGGTCTAACACGGCACGGGACGAGGAGCCGGATCGAAATATATGATCACTTGCTGCAACAAGACACTCGATTGCATTTATGAATGACCCTCACTTATACATAGAACTCGAAAGGGTATACCCGCTTGCTTGACGCTTCGGAAGCCAGCAAGAAGCCAAGTGTATACTATACCTACATACCTACCTATATATGTACATACACATATTACTTAGTACCCCTGTAGAAGACAGCACCAGATTCCTTCTTGTAGTTAAAGATATGTATCTGCTAGTGATTGTACGACCTAACCATAGACGACAAGATCATGGTAAGGAATGGCTCCATTATCGGTAAATAAATAGACGTCAGTGCCCCATAGCAGTGGATACGATCGTGACGATCTGCATGAAGAGCGCGGATAAGTTGCCAGGGCAAGTTGGTTTATATTAATTAAGAGATCTAATTGACATCAGTTACGAAATAAAGTCGATGTGATCTTATTGGCTGGTAACAAAGTGTTTCTCCTCTTCTGTATGATTCGGTACATATCATTTACCTAGGTTACTTGGGAGCATGGCTCTTCGCATCTGCCAATGCCGATTCCCGAAGCCTTCCAACATGTGTTGGAAATTGAGGTTGTTTGACGTTGCACATCGCTGCTGTATCGAGTTCCGGTAGGCTGGGCAAGTCCCTGTTTTCCACTCCACAACCCTCGGTTCGGCGTCGCATGTTAGTATCAAGTTAACATAAAAATGGATTATTTGTTCCACCGCTTAGGAAGGGAAAAGTGCGGTAAAGGCACAGCGGCAGACAAGTCGGCCTATGTAGTACTTAATGTACTATGTAAGATGGATACTTGTCACGATACCCTTATACCCTTGTATTCAGTAACTTGTGGGGGATTGCATGTATCTTATTTCTCGACATATATAGCAGCTTGGGCCGAAATCCTAAAACTACTAGCAATACATAGATTAGTTATGGAGAAAAGGAACTATTATGTTAAGACGATGACATATATGAATTTATCATACATATGTGCATACATACGTACTTCACCTAGCTTATTACTAGTCTCTCGTCCGCTATCGCTTAGGAATTGACCGGGATGAATGGGGTGGCTAGCGAAAATTCCCGGGACTGAGAATGAATAAGAGAATCCTCTAACAGCCGCCGAACTCCTCCCGTCCCCCCAAAGTGACAGAGTGACCCAATTCGGACTCAGCCTGCCTTCTAGAACCCCATCCTGACTGGCTGGCATTACTCGAATCATAGATGGAAATATTTATTTCTGGCCTAGCCCGGTTTTCTAGAGGATTCCCCCGTGTTTGCCCAGACTCCCGGTCGGGGGCGACGATGGCTGCGGGTCACACCACCCTCATCTCTGCCCATTAGTCACGATAGATCTCCAGACCTCTACCTAGTCCTCGGCCGCCTTGCCAAGTTGCCAGAAGTGGATCACATCTCCACTAAACAGTGATCGTAGTAGTGTGGCTAGTTCTCGTAGGCCGTAGCTGACCCCTTACCGCTTTCTTGATGGCGGCGGATTTAATAACCCTCCCGTCCCGCGTAATTCGAGGCCTCGGTAAGTGTCACGACTCGTCAACAGACTATCGAACGAGTTTCTATCCACGATATATCTGAAGATTCCTCCACATCGGATCTCCAGACCCCAGAAAGAAAAGAAAACCCCCGTATACATACAAACCTAAGCTCCAGCCTCGGCTCCCATCGTACCGCTGTTATCAGCCACCATCTAAGCGGCAAATTTTGCAATCTTAGAACTGAGGACCCTAGTTATTCAACTTGACCCTAGGGCTTGTCAGTCTTATTGTAAACTAGAGAATAACCTTCTGAAAAACCAGGTGCTTCTCACTGCTACCTGGTCAAAATTTTTGGGTGCAACAGCATCTCTCGTCAGATTTGAATCTGAAAAGACACCAACCCACAGACAATATGGTTGCAATTCTCCGTGCCCCGTCCCTGGGACAGCCACTATCACCAGGTTCGCCCGACATGATGGACATCTCAAGTAGATTCCTCAATGTGGACCTCGGTCCAGCCTCGGAAACATCAGTAGTGGTATTGCAGCAGCAGCAGAAGGTGTCTGCAAAGGAGGCCGTAGCTAGGAATGGCCTCCTCTGGACGCCTCGACGTGCTTTTTCCACAACTGATTATCCACCCTCGGTTAATTCGTCCGTTGTCCTGCAGAGACAACACCGTCTACCCACCCCGCTTGCTACACCAAGAGAGTCTGCGGAGACAGACTCATACTTCGAGTTCTACCCTCATGTTGCGATTGCAAAGCCGCAGCTCGCAGCTTCTCCGGTCGTACTCACTCCGCGAGGCACAAACCATTTGCAGCCCGCACGTCCACCCATGCTAGTACAGTCAAGGTCGTACTCAGTGACAGACGTCGAGCCAGTCCCATTTACACACCAACCGGGTGTGGCCCTTACCATAGAGGATCTGCCCCCTGAGCTGCACTACGCCATCTTCGACTTCTTGGACCCCATCGACAGCACGTGCCTAGGGTTGACAAGCAAGCATTTCTACTCGATCCACAAGCGAATGCACGGAAAAGTGTCGCTGTCAGCTAGGCGAGAGGGTCCTAACGACATGGAGTGGGTGTGGCGGAACGCACTTATATCGGGTCCGTTCGTGGCTAGCAGCGGAGTAGGCAAGCAGAACTCGCTGGCGTTGCTGTCCCCACGGGGCCAGGTATACTGCCGCAAGTGCCGCACAGCGCGCTGTGAGCTGCACAACCACATCCGCGAATGGGTCGGCGGCAACCAGGAATACTGCGAGGTATCGCAGAAGTTTGGCGCCGCCGCTCCCGAGAAGGCGAGGGCTTTCTGCTACCGGAGCTCTCCGAAACATCCGCACCGTTGCGGTAGACACACGCGACAGCAGCGGCCCGTTCGGCTCGTGTAAGACACGGCCGGAGGAGACGGGGGCTGTCAAAATAAAGTAACCTAGTCGACTATAAAGGTTGACTAAAGAACCGAGAATTAAACTCTATTCTCGGGAGGCCGAGAAATGCCTCACTATCAACAAACCAATATATTATTGTCTCCCTCTCGAGCCTCTCGAGGGAGGCTACATATCCCCGTGCCGATCGAATTGGTCAAAAGGCAATGATTGCGGGGTGCGCGTCTTGCAGGACCAAGTTAAGGATCATGATCGGTCAAATAACGCAGACGTCTAAGTAAAGGCTTCAAGTCACATATGTATTGACGAATGTGTTTGGGAATATTAAATAGGATATAAGCAACGGACTTAATGACTTATTGGAATATGAGTACCTAATATACCTAGGTACGTTTATGACATGCATTGCATAACTCTGCATTGCATGCGGAAGGGAATAAGGTAGGTAACCAGAGAATGTCGATCTGTCGTATAAGACGACTTGGGATAGCTTTTGTCTTGGATTTACTCGGATAGGAATTAAGAATAAAGAACTTGACACAAGTTTCACTCGCTTATGATTATATTTCCTATGGACTTGACTATGTGACCTATGTAACTACCTACCTAACTAACTATATTTTATAATATAGAAATATATAGTATGTAATGCCATTCTGGCATAATTATCACAGTAACTTTATTAGAAGATGAAATAACCTCAAACCATGGGCGTTTGTTTAAAAAGGTATAAACTTAACCGTTGTAAAGTTTAAGATGCGTCCACGGGACTTGTACGGGTGATACCTGGATACCTACATAACTGATAACCTAAAACGGAAATAGATGACTTCCCATCGGGATCTCGGCGCCACGCCACATGGTACTTCCGGAGCATTAGCCACGACCAAGCATGAGAATGCTGCCCGTCCGGGTTAAGCTATATACATATGTAATTGGTACGTCATGACGTGACGCCACTTACATGGTGTCCCTAACCGGGGGATCGAACGATTACCTACTGAATTTTTTTTGAAATTATCAAAACTTGGAACTTCATGGAGGTAACATTGGTTTGTGCAATTTTAAAACAACTCCTTTTGAAATATATCTTTTTTAGTTGGAACCCCCTTTTATTACTACTAGCGTAAATCTGTCCTCGGCCGGGGTAAAACTAGTGAGGTAGGTACCCAGCAAGCAAGCACCCGACCTACCGACTAAAGCAGGGGGGAGAAAAGAGAAAGCACGTCCTCCGTCCACGTTGGTTTCTTTATCGATTATATGCACCTAGATACACGTATCACCGTGCTCCCATCATTATCGGCATCATCATTTCTTCTATTCACATCCCACTGAGGGCTCCCACATTCCGGTGATTTTAATTCTTATTCGTCACCGATATTCCGTAATTGCTATCTACCTATATGTGAGCAATTGCTTATGACGTTTGCCTGAATCTATTCCAGTTGACAAAGCTATAAGCTACATAATTCACGGCTCCCGTGGCGGTGCCCCAACTATTCCCGAACGCCTCAACGACTTTTACGGGGAAGTAGAGTTGCATGTACATTATCTATATCGTTGCAAGTCTTATGCCAATCTAGCTTCAACCTACGAATCATCCTTCCCAATTCCTAAGCTTTAAGCTCGGCGCTTTAATTTTTGAGCAACGCCCATTCCGAACATCCACTTGGGCACACAATTCTCTCCAGCCGCCTACCCACCAAAGCTAAAACCAAAATGTCATCTCCCTCAAGCTCCTCACATGCTGGCAAGCGTAAACGTCCAGCAACCTCGAGCTCTATTAAGATGGATGAGAACCCTCTTTTGCAGCCCTCCTCGAGGGACGCATCTGGCGAAGAGGGAGATACTACGGCGCCCGAGTCTGGAAAGTTATTACACCGCAAGTCGGAATCTGCTTCGAACTCGAACCCGGCGAAACGACAACGTGCTAATTCCGATCGTACCTCTGCCCTCGAGACAGCTGGCCATATCGTAGATCCCGGTGAGCCAAGCGACACCACCGAAGCGAGCATTGATATTGCCGATCGAGTCACTAGGAAGAGCAGGAAGCCTACTACCCTTAGGGATGCCACGACACATGATGATGAGGAGAGAAAGAAGCAAGCTGCTATGCTGCCGCCTCCAACCGGGCGTCTTGTACATCCTGTTGGATACAAAACGAACCCCCCGCCCGCTGGACGCACTATCAGGGTTTATGCTGATGGTGTCTTTGATTTATTCCATCTCGGGTATGTAGGCACTGCTTAACGGGGGCTGTTTCTAGCTTTCTATGTCATTAGGACGTAACTAATATTGAGGTAGTCACATGCGCCAGCTTGAACAGGCGAAGAAGGCGTTCGACGACGTCTACTTGATAGTTGGCGTTACAGGCGACGACGAAACACACAAACGCAAGGGCCTAACAGTCCTTTCTGGAAAAGAGCGCGCCGAAACACTCAGGCACTGCAAGTGGGTTGACGAAGTTGTTGAGAATTGCCCCTGGATTGTAACGCCGGAATTCTTGGAGAAGCACCGGATTGATTACGTTGCTCACGATGATATTCCATACGGCGCCGCCGAAGGTGATGATATTTACGCCCCTATTAAGAAAGCTGGAAAATTCTTGGTAACACAGCGAACCGAGGGTGTGAGCACAACGGGTATCATCACAAAGTAAGTACTACTTAACGGCATTGGAATTGTTTGAGGTGCAGCGATACTGACTTTAAAACTAGAATTGTCCGCGACTACGAAAAGTACATTGCTCGCCAATTGAAGCGAGGGACATCACGCCAGGAGCTTAACGTGAGCTGGCTCAAGAAGAACGAGCTCGATCTCAAACGTCATGTCCAGGATCTGCGTGATAATATCAGAGCAAACTGGACTACGACAGGTCAGGAACTTAGTCGTGAGCTCCGTCAGTACTGGCCCGCAAGTCGACCTCAAAGTCCAGCTCCGGGTGGCCGCTTTAATTTTCCTACCACTCCAGGCCCTTCAAGTTCGAATGGTGATGGTAATTTACGAGAAGCCGCTGCCCTGGCCGCTGCTGCTAAATCACCCACTACGCCAGGCCCGTCAGGCGAGAGGACACCGGCTCCTAATGATTTTATTACCGGTTATACACTTGGTCTAATTGGTGGCGTGAGGTCTTGGGTAAGTTTACTTATAATATTTCAAAGTGATGAATTTGCTGACATGGACAGATGACCAAGAATCGGCGTAACCTCCGCGATAGTCGGCCACCAAGCGACGACGATTCGGAGAGCGAAGACAAGAACATTGGCAACGACCACGGGCGGGCAGTCGCGTCCACCAGTTAGTTACTCCGACCGTTGGCCCGCCTTAGCGTCAATACGAGGCCGTACGACGGGGATAGCCAGTTTGGCTCCGAAGACGAAGGGGACGACGAAAGCAACTAGAATTTTTTTTTGACGATCAGGTGATCAGAGGAATACAAAAAAGCGCAATAATTACGAACGAAACGGCGTTTTACGGGCTTTTTGTATGCATTTCTGACACCGTAAATAAGATTGAGGCCCGAGGAGTCGAAGGCTAGTGGGAGAGTAGATAAACGACTTCGTTGCTTACGTATGCCAACCGCACTTGATAGAGATAATTCCCAGCATGAATGTTCATGATGAATATTATCTATAAGCGTAGATGCTGTGATTGAGTGTTTGTGAGGGTAAGGGGTAAGTCATGGGTATGTTGGTGAGATATTTCGTTAAGGTTAGTTTCTCAACTTGGAGGTATAGAGTTTCTTAGATGCTAATGAGTATTAAGCTTTTATTATATTGATATTTTAAAGGTGGAAGAAGAGGTATGGTAATTTGGACTTTGGATTTATATATCTGTTATTTGTAGGATTTATATCTCGTAGCTAGATGGAAAGGCTACCTTAAGTACCTACAAGTACTCAAAAAGCAAACGCTATTTTCTGATGTCTCTGTAGGTTTTGGGTTCCCAGGTTCTCGCTTACACCGAGTATTATTATTTTTGTTATTTCCAGTTTTGTTCCAGTTACTTTGGTAAGAGAAGGCTGTAACTACTAGGGAGTAGGTGTATTAGTTCATCACGAATTGAAGGGTTTAAGAAACAGCCGCCTCTTACGCGAAACGCGCGATGAACCTGATAATGTCCTGTAAGCTTCCATTGCTATACCTAGTAATAATTACGATTCCTAAGTTACTGACGGTGCCTCTTGACGTGGGAGAATTTTTGCATTCTTAGGGGTCGAGGCGAACCTGTAAGCTGTAGTTTGCAGGCTGGATCGAGCTATAGGCATAGTCGTATTTGGTAAGGACTGCACACATGCAACTTTGAGGATTACTTTATGGGTAGGATGGTGGGATGCTGATGAGTTGCTACATCGCACGATGGTAATATACAGGTAGGTATGGAGGCTGTTGTGTTATATTTCGCTAGGGTAGGACTATCTTTAGCCTTGTCTTAACAAATCAAGATATATTGCATTGCTACGATGGTGGTTTTATATACGCCCCTGAATGGCCTCGGTTTCACTCTTAAGGCTGAATAGGTAGGCAGGTAGTCTGGCTGCAGGGGTCCATGTTTGTTATCGAGTCTCGGCAGTGTATAACCCAGCTAGACGCGGTGTATAGATTGTATAGTCACTTGTATACTTCGTAGTCACTTGATCATTCTAGATATATCTCTCGTTTATTACCTTGCTCTCCGATGCCGTGCGTTTGTGGCCCAGCACGATAATAGAGATGGTGTCGGTGTTCTTGTTGTCACGTCGGCAATGCGAGTTACCTCTGGAACCACCTTCGTTCCTTATCCAGGACGACGCCTTTAGGATCGTTAGGCTTTGATGTGCGTACGAGGCGTTATCCAGCCAGGCATTGTAACGGCAGTCGTAACGACGCGTAAGACAATTCAAGCACGGGGGTGTGTCTCCCGAGTACGGTAGCACTGACTCTACTACGTCAAGGCTCGTGACTCGGGTTATAAGTACGTCCTGTAGATCTGTGCTACTCGAACAACCTAGCTGCCAGTTAGAGAGTCATATACTCGTGAATACGAGGGAGAAAGCCGGGCTTACTACTCGACGATACTACATCTCACTATCCAGTCGACTCGCGAGGTCACACAACAAAGGTTAGACCCAAGGCTCGAACTAGGCAGCTCTTTAGAGCCAATATG